GTCGCCGCATCCCAGATCTTAACAGTCTCGTCATATGATCCTGAGGCGACGAGCCTTGAATCGGGCGAGAACGCGACCGAGCTGATCCAGCCGCTATGCCCCTCGAGCGTCTGCGTGCATCTCCCGGTCGCCGCATCCCAGATCTTAACAGTCTCGTCATATGATCCTGAGGCGACGAGCCTTGAATCGGGCGAGAACGCGACCGAGTTGACCGGGTCGTTATGCCCCTCGAGCGTCTGCGCGCATGGGCCCCACTCATCTCCTACAGCCGGTGCGGTGGTAATCCACTCCTGTTCCTCATGTTTAAACAACTCTCTTGTTATGCTGCGGACAGGGCTGAACACAAGTGCTGAAGCGTATACCTGAAGAGGTGCTGTATCAATAATCGATCGGCTGCTCAGAACAAACCGTCTTATATCGCGGAGAAATATATATATTCTGGTGGCATCTCCAGTCTGAAAGGATATATTAGTATCTATCGGTGATGGGGACCAAGGGTGCAACATACATCGAGTAGGGCTAACAAGTCGTCTACCATGCCGATACTCTCCGAGATACAGCCTACAAGCCCGAGCGCTTCAAGCCAGTAAAGGAGGTGGCTCTTCAAGAAACTGTGGATCGGGCCGTTATCCCGTACAATGCCTTTGCTCTCCTTCCAGTGGTGGACCCAGTACCGACATACGTACTGGACTTCGGGTGGCAAAGCGGCGTCGACGGTTCGTTGGTCGATTTCCGAGCGCGGTTTCCCCGGCACTTGCAGATCGCAGATATCTCTCTTGAGGTGTTGGCGCATAAGTTGAATACATATATCCGCCAGCGTTCGGTGATGTTGTACCTCGTCGATCCAAAACTCCTCGGCACGCTTGGTTGGATCGACAAGGAAGTCGCGGAAAGACAGGTGAAAGAGTCTTACAGGAGCATCTATTTCTGGGGGAATTCTCAGGACCGAGTGGAGAGAGTTGAGCCTGCCATATATAGCTTGAGGAGAGATGATGAGAAGTCGTGCGAGCGACGACACTGAGAGCGGTTGGGCAAGGAGAACAATAGGGCCAACAACATCCCGGAACTCGGCTAATAAGCGGCCCCTCTGTGGCTCAGCACGCCCGGCAGTGAGCTGGTTGAGAATTGGGAGATATGTCGCGTCGAGTTTGTCAAGCTCGGAATTATGGGTCTTCCGCTGATACTGTAAGACTTTCTCGAGCTGACCGGCGGGGTCAGACCACACCGGATCTTCGACAAAGCGGCAGACGGTTGCGGCAAAAATGAACAATGGAACGGCCATCTGAGCGAGCATCCGAATGACGTGTTCGCCAGGCCAGTCGGGCGGGAGCCTTAGGTCTCCGGGAGCTTGGCTGTTGTAATCGTTCCTAATCCTCGCGAGTGTGTGCCCTAAGAATGCAGATATATCGCGTTCCACGATTGGCTCCGGTATTTGGTGTAGAGCCAGGTCCTGATACTTTCCCTGGACGTTCATGAATCCGAGGCGAATGGGCAGCTCAGGCCGGCTGGTGATGAAAATCCTCAGTCGCACGGAGCTCAGTGTCTTTGCTTGTACTAGCAGGGAGATGATGGTCTTTACGTCATTGTCTCCGTCACACTCGTCAAGAGCATCAACAACAATCAGACTTGACATAGTTTGGTGAATGCGGCTAAGAGGTTGCAGGATGAGCTTCTTGAACTGGTCTGGCAGCGCCTTCCTGGCAACGCCGGGGTCGCCATTGATAGCGTCTCTGACAAAAGGCGCCAGAGTAGGGATTTTGTGCACAAGCTGACTGACAATGGTGGGGAAAAACAAGGTGGCTTTGCCACGGTCTCCTTCACCTCTTTTGAAGAAGAAGCTTGCGCCGAGGAGGCCGTTGTCTGCGAATGCCTTCGCTACGGTGCGGGAGATGGTGGATTTTCCGGTCCCTGCCATGCCGTTCAGCCAGAAGATGCTCTCACCGTGAGGATCTTCTGCCCAGTCTCTGATCTGACGGAGGAGCTCGATTCGGGTGTCAGGATGGCATTGTGCGTTGCTCTGTTCGGCAAAAGAGTCGAAAGCTGCCTCATATACAGCCGGCAGGATGTCGCTCGAACTGTAGTAATGATTGCCCACGTGGACCCGTGCCTGCCCTTCGGCATGTAGTGACCCGACAAGATTTGCCATGGCGGCGACGACGAAGCGGTTGGATTGCTTGGAACAACGATTGCGATGCTTCCCAGAGTGCTTTCGCCGTGGGATCGTCTAACACACTCATGCGTCGTGATTGAGAGTCAAAAGTTGCGTCGGCGTAGAAGACAAGAGGAAGTCGCTCGTCAGACTCGTGATAAATATGCTGACATGGACGTGTTCTCACCTCGGTATGGAGTGACCTGAGCTGATATGCGGTGACAGCGGATGGTTTGAAGCGATGGTCAACGCTATCTTCAAGTTGGGCGTGCGTATGCTCTCAAATTGGGCATCGATCAAGCCGACTGCAGGTACCCCGCCGCCAACTCAACCAGGCAACACTCAGCCGCAGAGGTGCATCAGCTTTCATCTTCCCCTCTTCCCCCCTCGACAGCCACAACCAGTCAACATGCCATGGCTGAACCGTTCGGGATCGTTGCTGGCGCGTTGGGCGTTGCCGGCCTCTTCAATAACTGCATAGACTGTTTTGAGTACGTCCAGCTAGGTGGCCGCTTTGGGCGCGACTTTGAGAGATGCCAACTCAGACTGGACATTGCAAAGACACGCTTGAGCCGATGGGGCGAGGCGGTCAAGTTCAACGTTGACCCGGTTTGAGGACAGGGACATGAAGCCAGCCGGGCGAGCGCTGCACAGGCGGCTGAAAGACCTCGCTTGTCGGTGGCAGAAAGATACGAGCTTGGTGAAGAAGACAGCATGGGCACTCTACGACGGGAAGAGCCTGGAGAAAATCGTCGACCAAATCGCCGGCTTTGTTGACGAGCTGGAGAAAGCCTTCCCGGTCGAGGCCGTTTGTCACAAGCTGGCCGGGATCGAAATCGAAGAGGTGGAGGACGAAGCAAGTTTGACAATGCTCAAGGATGCCGCGGGAGGGATCGACGAGGCTCTGTCAGGTGCGGCTGCACGGAAGATCGACGCAATCGCGGGAAGGAACTCCGCCAAGGATGTCAGGATGGGGGGCCATGCAAGGGTCCACGTCGGCAAATGTATTCACCGAGGCAGTTGTACATCGTGAGATCCTCATCAGAGATCAGACGATCAATTCGGTAGAGACGGTGGTGGCGACGGGTGAGTCTGGAATCCAGATTGGAGATACGTACGGTGGCAAAAGGTTGAGTTCTCCACCTGGTACGTACCTTTTCTGCCACTTGGTATGTATCTTTTCTGCCATTTTGTACGTACCTTTTCTGCCACTCGGTACTTCTTTTTGCCGCTGAGAAATCACGTTCCTGTATTTTCTCAACAAAGGGCTTTTCAAGCACTACTTCTCAATGTTCTCACCAGCCGGGAGATGGCATATGTAAACGTCACGTGAAGAATGTATAAATTATCTGCTCTATTTCATCCACCGACGACCATAAGGCGCGCTGCGTGAAGTTCTGTTTGGAATTTACATAGAAGGAGTCGTGGACAATTGCACCTTCTGGTGGAATGCCTCTAGCACCTCGGGGCATTTCTCGAAATGGGCAGTGGGTTCCCAAGAATTGTGCTTCTTCCCATACCCTGCCCACTTGACCGGGTACTCCAGTCCCGTTTTTCCCTGTTGCCACATCAAAATCTCCTCGACGTTATAATACTCGTCGCCTTGAACCTTCTCAGTCGTAGGGGCAACTCTTGAAGAGAGAGCACGTGCCGTCGAGGAATACCTCCCTCCTAGTGACTTGCGCCGCGGGATTTCTAGTACGCGGTCATGTTGCCCATAATTCGTACAAGGATTCCACGTGACCTCCACCTGAAACGTCGCTGACCTGCCCACCCAAACGCGCTTGAGGACCGCTTCAAGTGGCCATTCCTCAAAGCTTGCGAAATCGGCTTCAAGTGCCCCCTCTTCCAAAGCGGACGCCCCTGAAAATTGCGGCCTGGAATTCCTGCGCTGGCTTTGGCGGCGCTTTGGACCTTGGCTTGGTGATGGTTGTTGAGCCTGTAGCGATAGGGAGGTTTTGCGAAGAGGTGCCTGCCTCATGGGCGCTCTGTTTACCTTGCGGCGCTTCCCTTGTGGCGGCTGAATGACATCCCCATCTTTGCCTTGCTTGACGTCACTTTCCACACTAGGGAAGCAGTCCTCCTTGCTGTCAGTATCGCAATGACGCCGCCGTCGACAACGACCGGGGTTCTGCTGAAGATCGACCTTCTCCACGTCGGGCAAATTGGTGGTACTAGCCCTCGTTGTTCCAGAGCCTTGCTTCACGTCGCGGCCGAACGACACATGTTTCCGACGCGTCGCCCTAGTGTCGGGGGTGGGAGAATCCCCGCAGACTTCACCGGCGAAGCTTCTGTCGCCAGAGCCAGGTTGCTCTGCTGCTGCATTGTCTTCTCACTGGTCGATTTGGACGCAGCTCGACGGTTTTGGAGGGCGGGGGTGCCATCCTCATCCTACTCTCTGTCTTCTGGAACGAGAGGATGGCATTCTCCGTCACTCGCTGGATCGCTGTCGTCATGGTGATTAGGGTGTTGCGAGAGGCGGCAGCTGGCGGACCTCAGTTGTGGATCAACCCCACGACTGGAGGCGACGTCGCATAGGCTCTGGGGCCGAAGGCGTGGCTCAGTATCCGCTGGTTCGAGCCCAGTGGTACTCTTTGTCATCCGGCAGTGTGGGGGTTCGTACCCGCTCTTCGCTGTCATCTGGGATCAGATGATGGTGCTCTGGGCTGCCCTTCTGACTGCTGTCGCCGCAGCGATCACAGTGCTGAGAAAGGCAGTGGCCATCGGATTGCTGCTGTGACTCAAATCCAAGACCAGAGGCAGCTAGGCCTGGACTATGAGGGTCCAACATGGATTGCGACTGAGCGGCATGTTTCTGCCGGATCGCCGCGAATGAAAATGGGAACGGCCTATCCCATTCTTCGCTGCCAAGGTATATGGAACCGTCGTGATTCGACGTTGTTCCGCACGGCTTTTCGGACGGCCGGGGAGAGTCAGACAACGTCTCTGGAGAAGGCCCTGGGCTACCTCTCTGTTGCTGCTCGTCTGCAACCTCATCGTCTGGGCCACGCTCACTGGTGACCGAAGGCTTTGATACGTCGATATCGTCGGGAATAGTGTCGCGACTTTCGCCTGTCTAGGCATGTTAGCGAACTCGCCTGCCCGGAAAGGGAGATTTAGGTACATACCTGCACTAGCAACACCGCTGGATTCAAGCTTCTTGGATGCAGCCGCGACGAGCTCGTCAAGCGACGCGAAAGACATGTCGGATCGGCCATCATCAGAATCGTCATCGGACTCGCTATCAGGGATCAGGATCGCATTGTTCTGCGACTTCCCTGCACCACCATGTCGAGAATTATGCGCACCCTGTTGTGGCGGCGGCGGAAGGAAAGGAGCAGGGTCCCCCTTCCGAACGAGAAGCCCGCAATTCGCGGGGTCGGGGCCTGCCGCCACAGGGGGGTTGTAAAAGACCTGGTTGTCGAGGCAGACTGTTGCCATCTCGCTACTAGTGATAATGCGCGCTGGTGAATTGCAGAAGATGTCAAAGGTTTGGGAAAGAATGGTCCCGGAAGTGTTTGGTGTACAAGCTGTTTACCTTCATATTCCTGTGGTATCGAGGAACGTGCGAAATATATCTGTGTGCCGAGGAAGGGCGGACCCGATCGCTGAGTTGGCAAGGAGCCGGGCCTCGCGCTCTCCGTCGTCACCAGCTTCCCAACCCCTGTTCGCAATGAGGAACGTGCTCGGCCGTGAAACGTCTCGTTCCATGCGGTTCCCCAGTATGGTGCGGAGAGGAACGGGATATCGATTCACCAGTCCCTCGCAACTCTGCCAATCATGCAATTGCCGAGAAAGGAAGGAGAGGGCCCAGGAAAAGGGAAGCGTCGCAGGACATCGTATCGCCACGAATCATGGCCTTTGCCCTGAGGCCCCGTGGTCCATGACGTTGCTAGGGGTTGCCGAGAGCGGCTCAGCCGAAGCGGGGGTTGGCGCATCGTCTCCTGTAACGCCTTCCTGCGTCCGTCTGCATGCGCCTCCTTCATGTCGTCCGGTTTCTGGTACTGCCCATGGCAAGGCAGAATCTCCCCAAGCAGTCTCACACGCGCCATTGAACCCGATCTGCCTCGCCATCGGTGAAGCGAAGGCAGCGGCGCCAGCAAGGCCACATCATCGTTTCGACGGCCGCATCGGCCTCCTTGACTCGGCCTTGCCATCTCTGTTCGCTGCGGCCGGCGTGTGGCCCAGAAATGTTACCTGCATCCCCCGCCATAGCTGCGCTGGCATTCGGTCCGATTGTTCTGCGATCCGCACGCCGAGACGCTCTGCATCCAAGCGAGAGGAGGCCCCCTGGTGTCTCCGCATGTGTTGAAATCGATACCTGCGGCAGTTTTCTGACTGGCCAGGACATGCCGGTCTTGTAAATTGCACGCGGGAACGAGGGGGCGGAGGACCTGCCACGCAGGCATGGATTCTGATCCTACGGACGAAATGAGGCACCCTGGAAAGCAGAGTGGATGGGGAATGGATGAAACGAGACGTCGCTGACGGGGAGAAACAAAGCAAGTGTTGGGTGGCTCCAAAGGGAGAGGAAGCTCGATGTCGAGACCAGAGTTGAGCCGAACGACCCTCCTGTATCTCTCCGGAACTCGTCCCCATTGGACCGCGTTAAGGGCTCGTTGTCGGCTCGGCCTTTCTATCCCCGTCCGCCGCAGGCTGAATCACGGCGTGTGACCCAGAAACAGATCACAGTCAATTAGAACGCGAACATGCCCTTCTCGTAACCACTCTCTTGCAGGCTCCGCCGTAGCTGCGCCAATATTCGGTCCGAATACGAGATTATCCAGGAGGCGTCTTCGCACCTAGCAAATTGGGAATGTCTCCATCTGCAGGTCAGTGTCTCTGTATCGGACGCAGTAGACATCTGCGGCATTTTTGTGACTGGTCAGAATCAGCATGCATTGCAAACCGCTCTTACAGGGGACCTACCAGGCAGACGCGACGTTGCCCGCCACGGACAAAGGGAGGCATCCTGGATGGCAGAGAGCAGGCGGATTTCGATCGCTTAGTGTAGATGAAGCTCAGAGTCGAGTTGAAATTTTAGAATAAGGCGAGTGAAAGCCGTAATGAGAATGGGCCGGAACGCAAGCGGTAAGGAGAAGGGCTCCGGGTAAATAGCTGCCAAACAGCGCAAGTACTGCGCGAGAGGCGATATGCGAGGCTCTGAGGCGACGGAAAGAGGGGAAGGCAAAGGGTGGTCGGTAGGGAAACGCGGCCGCCTTGGCGAAATGAGCGATCAGAGAGGTATTGGCGACGAGCGCATTATCAGGAGGCAGGGGCCGAGTGAAGGAAAAGGGAGAGGAATGAAGGAAGAAGTCGAGAGTACAACAAAGCGACATCAGAGAGGATCGGCTCGTATTTATGTTGCGGGCGTAGCCGGGCCATGCGAGCACGCGAGTCTGACGCAGCGCTATACCCGATCGGGAGGGCCGCCAAACCCGGCCGGTGCAACAGCATGTTCTGCATTACAGAAACAAGCTGGAATAAAAAGATACCTTAAGTAAAATGTATAGGATGTCACCAACAGCTAATCTACCTAAGCTCTAAGACTTATATACACTATTAGTATAACCTAGAAGCCATTGTGCCTGGAATCGATGGAATACATAGGTATTCATGTGGTTCAGTGCTTCAGCTCACTAACTTACAGTCGGCTTAGACTCGATCGGGAAGTGGAGATTCAGGAGAACCATGTGGAGAATACGAGAAAGAAGAAACTGGGCGCTCTCCTCACCGCCTCAGCCTCAGCTGAAAACAAAGCAAAGCTACGAAGAAGGGAGCAATGATAAAAATCGCAGACCTCGTTCATATTCATCGTTGGCAGACTGACTCTTTATAACTCAGAGACCTGGGTAACATCATCCAATCCATCGCAACCGACCACCATCTCAGTAACAGTTGACCGGACTCCTGCTTACCTAGGTAAACCCCCCGTCTCAGCGTCAAGTCGTTGACCCTCAGCCGTGGACCATCTCGCCACCCCCCCCCCCAAACAACCTCACCTCTCAACCAACCCTCAACCCTCAACATGTCCCTCTACCTCTCCTCCCTCAGCCTACTCCCCACCCCCGACCCGTCCACCCTCCCACCACCCCTCCGCGCCCTCCAAGCCGCCGCAACCCGCCAGGAGCCCGGAGGCGGGGGATCCAGCAACCTCCGCCCCGTACGCAAACGCCTCACCCACCTTGCCGCAACCTCTACCACCCAGCCCAACCCCCTGATATGTCCCGTCCCAGACGACCAGACCTGCCCGCAAAACGAAACCCTCTTCCAGGGCTTCGAATGGTACGTCCCCGCTGACGGGCGGCACTGGCGCCGCCTTGCGGGTATTGTCCCGTCCCTGGCAAAGCTGGGGGTAACGAAGATGTGGATTCCGCCTGGGTGTAAAGCTGCGGATGGTCAGGGGGGGAATGGGTATGATGTTTATGATTTGTGGGACTTAGGTGAATTTGCGAGGGATGGGGGTGATTTGAAGGGGGGTGGGGGTGGGGGGGATAGGAGGACGAAGTGGGGGGTTAAAGAGGAGCTTGTTGCCCTCGGGGAGGTTGCGGAGAAACACGGGGTGAGGTTACTGTGGGATGCGGTGTTGAATCACAAGACGGGGGCGGATTTTGTGGAGAGGGTGGTGGCGTGTAAGATGGAGGAGAGGGATCGGATGAGGGAAAAAGAGGGGGAGGGGGCAAGGAGGGAGATTGAGGCGTGGACGGGGTTTCGGTTTCCGGGGCGACGGGGGAGGTATAGTGCTATGCAGTGGAGGGCGGAGCATTTTAAGGGGGTGGATTGGGATGAGAAGGGGAAGGAGAGGGGGGTGTGGAGGTTTGTGGGGAAGGAGTGGTGAGTGCATTCATGAGCAAGGTTTGGTAAAGTCGGAAGGATATAACGGAAAGGGGGCTAATGTGATGGTCTAGGGCGAAAGATATTGACGAGGAGCTGGGGAACTACGACTTTCTGTAGGTTCCAGGTTTGGACTGCGGTTATGTTGACTTCCGGTCGCGGAGTATCATGCTGACCCCTGACCACTTAGAATGTTTGCAGACATCGACCACAGCCACCCCGAAGTCAGGGCAGACCTGTTTCGCTGGGTTGAGTGGCTTCCACGGCAGGTAAAACTCGGGGGCATGCGTCTGGACGCCATCAAGCACTACAGTTTCGAGTTCCTGCGCGACTTTGTATCGCACGTCGATGCGGCTGTTGATCCTGACTGGTTTCTCGTCGGCGAGTACTGGAGAGAAGACTCCGAGTTTCTTGCTGCTTTCATCGAGTTCATGAAGCATCGGATCTGGCTGTTTGATGTGCAACTGCTCGGGAACTTTAGCAAACTGTCGTTGCTGGAGGAAAAGGGGGATTTGAGAAAGGTTTTGGATGACTCCTTGGTCTTGTGGAAACCGGACAATGCTGTGGTAAGACATGACATCCAGCTGCAGCCATCTAGTGCAACAGAGAGAAGCGCTGACATGAAAATTTAGACATTCGTTGTTAACCATGATACTGTAAGCTCCGCCATCACCCCTGAAGCAAAAGCTCAAGATGCTAGCCACTAACACTTACACCAGCAACCCGGCCAGGCTCTTGAGGTAACTTATACCCCCTTCCCCAACCATTCCCCATCCCTCATTAGAGTACTAACCTCCCTGGCAGACACCCGTCCTCCCATTCTTCCTCCCCCTCGCCTACGCACTCATCCTCCTGCGCGCCAACACCGGCCTGCCCTGCGTCTTTTACTCGGACCTCTTCGGCTCCATGGGACCCCAACCCCACCACCACCACCCGCCCAACAACCCCAATCATCTTCATGTTTCCACCCGCCCCCCCTGCGGCGGCCTGATCATCCCCAAACTTCTTCTCGCGCGCAAACTCTGGGCATACGGGTCGCAACACGACTATTTCGACGGCGACGACAGTGACAAGAACTGTGTCGGGTTCACGCGCCTCGGCCACCCGTCACGCTCCGGCGGCGCCGGGCTCGCCGTCGTCATGACCAACGCCTGGCAGTATGCGGTTAAAACAATGTTTGTCGGGAAGCAGCATGCGGGTGAGTGCTGGACGGACGTGCTCAATTGGTGTCCGGGCCATGTGGTCATTGGAGAGGATGGGTTTGCGGTTTTTCCCGTGGGTCCACGCAGTGTGGCTGTTTGGGTGAGCGCTGAGGCGCTGGGGAGGGGGGAGGTTGATGAGTTTGTTTTGTGAGTGTGCCTTTCTCTGTTGGTGATATGTTAAGTGGTTGTTTTAGTGTGGGTATGCTGATGGTTGGTATTGAAAGCGATGATGATATATACGGGTTCAACTCAGGCTGTGATGGTAAGGAATAAACGGAGGGGGTATGGCATGGAAGCTGCTCCGGCCGTGGCAGGGATGCTAAACGAGAGGTCCAGTCATTGGTGTTACCGTGTTGGTTGGGATAGGTTCTAGACCGCTGTTAAGACTGAGAGGCATAGAACACTTCGTTCCAGCATCAACATCACCGCAATGACCAAGTGAGGCTTGCAAAACACCGAGCCAAGAACTTGAATGAAGGGGGATTTGATACACTGTCGTCCCCTGACACGATTCTTGTGTGTATAGGTATCATTGCAACTTACAAGAGAGGAAATATACTTATACACCTAGTAGGGACTTAGTAATAATAAGCCTGCCCTTTGATATGTATGTGTTTAGATACTAGGTACCTAGGTTCGTAATGAAACTCGGACAAAAGACATGATGAGTTACTGTAAGCTTCGGTGCGGGTCCTGGCAATGCAGGGATTGAGGACTCGAATACCGAGTCACTCGAAATCATCAAATAGTGTGGTTCGGGTGTGGATTCACTGATGTGAGTACATGTACAATACAAGGCTCGGCCCGAACCGAGACCATGACGTTTTGCTCGCGTCGGATTCATCGGAATGCCTTCGTCGTCCTGTGGACCCGCCAGGCTGTCAGCCAAACACAAATGCAGTTCCCAGCACAACTCGGGACTCAAGCAGCGCCAAGCTCCATCACCGAATGACTCAAATGCTACTATGACTGTACAACCCCGCTCACAGGTGCAGCTTTGAAGCGCTTGGCGGAAGATACTAGTAAATAATTCCCTATAGTAGTTCTACCGTGCTTACCCTACTTCAATCCGAATCAAGATACAAAAGAGAGCTGGAAGAACGTAGGGAGACCGCTCCTCGAAACAAAGCTACCATCCTCTAACGCATTCATTTCAAGTTATTGTTCTTCCATTCTTTACTCCATCCTTACTCCTTAATCTTATTACCAACACGACCCCTCATACTCGGTTTTCTTCCCTCCAGACCAGCAAATGGAGAAGCTCGACAGCATACTGAACAAATACGTCGCCGAGGGCGAGGATACGGCTGGCAAGCTCCTCGGAGCTGCTTTCATCGTATGCAACAAAGATGGTACATAACCAAGACGACGCAAGCAAATCAGCAGAGTGTCACAACCAACGGCCTAACACAACCGACACACAGGCATCGTGTACCAGGGAGCAGCAGGCCGAACCACCTTAGCCCCTGACTCACCCAAGTTCGCAGTCGACACCTGGACATGGGTGGCGTCCATGAGCAAGATCATAACCATGATGGGCGTCATGGCCCTCGTCGAGAAAGGATCCGTGAGCCTAGACGATGACATGCGCTGCATCGTTCCCGAGCTCGGAAAGCTGCAGCTCCTGAAGGGATTCACCGACGACGACAAGCCCATCCTGGAAAACAACACCCGGCCGATTACTCTCCGGTAGGCCACCTTTACCATAACCCCGACCTACCTTACTTAACCATCATCAAACGCTAACCTCAACAGACACCTCCTCACCCACGGCGCGGGCATCGGCACGGACATCGCCGACCCGGAGCTCATGAAATGGTCCCACTCCATCGGCCGCACCGCCACCTGCCTGGACTACACCATCGAAGGATGGAGCGTGCCCATGAAGTTCCCGCCGGGGGAGGGATGGTACTACGGCGGCGCGACCGAGTTTGCCGGGCTCGCCGTCGAGCGCATCACAGGCCAAAACCTCGACGAGTACATGCGGGAAACGGTGTTCAAACCACTCGGCATGGAGGATACCACCTTTTACCGGGAGTCTATGACTGATAAGGTGGCTGCGCGCACGGCGCCGTGCATGATGCGCAACCCCGAAACTGGTGGGCTCGCCGAGACGGATTGGGTGGTTCCTGTGCAGCCGGAGTTGTTGAGTTTGGGGAGTGGGCTGTACATGACGGCGAAGGATCATGCGAAGGCGTTGCAGAGTTTGCTTAGGTCGCTTGCCGGTGAGGGTGGTGGACTGTTGAAGAGGGGGACGGTGCAGGAGATGTTTCGGCCGCAGCTGAGCGAGTCGCAGAGGGCTGTGCTCAAGGCGGTCACGGATATGTTTCATGACAATATGGTGCCCGAGTTCCCGCCGGGTATGCCGCTGGATCATGGGATCAGTGGGATTATTAATCTGGAGGACTGTCTGGGGAAGAGGAGGAAGGGGAGTATGATGTGGCAGGGGATGGCGAATGGGCATTGGGTGAGTACCTCCATCTGTGAGAGTTGTATCGGTGTGGAAGTGTTTGGACGGCTAACTTGGGCAGTGGGTTGATCCCGAGTCGGGCATTGCGGCTACGCTCTTCGTCAACGTGATGCCTCAGGGGGACAAGGTGGTTGTTCAGCTGTATGATGAGCTTGAACGGGCGGTTTATGGGGATTTAGTGGCGGATGTGATGGTTTGCCAATGAAAGCTGTGGTTAGACCGAGATTGAGGTGCCAAAGCCTGGCCAGCAGCATGGATGCCAGATTCAGCCAATGTTATAAGCATCCAAGCTCACCAAGCTACCAGCACATGCAGCCAGCAGGTCTGCTAGGTTCACCGTAAGACATATGCACTGGTTGGTTGAATGTAACCATGGTATCTAGTCCCTAGTGCATATGCAGTTTTTCTCGGCCCTCTTTTACCCTGATGGATATTGAGGTCATGGAGCTCATGTTCAATAACATGGCGTGAGGAATCATCCGCTGCACGTGGGAGTTCATGGAGTTGGTAATTAGACTATCCGCATTTAGATATAAGAACTACATGATTCGTTACCTGAGATACCTATGTTCCCCAGGATTCTCTTGAGTAGTCCTGACTCAGAGATACCTCGAGCAATCATAAGGGGCTGAGTATGCTGGCAAAGGGGAATCTCAGGCCCTTCTCCGGACTAACAGATTACATGTAAGGGATTTGGAGGGCAAGAAGTGGTCTTTGTGATTGGCAACGCCAGGGATTGGAGTGGGCTGCAGGGGCGAGCCAATGTCTCAGTATGTACCTCCAGGGCTGTGGAAAATGAACTCGAATTCCAGTCAACCTCAGGCCTATTAGCTGTTTCCATGATTTTGGCTTCTTTGACGAATAAGAGACACTTCTACCTCCGTACAATACATAACAGCTAGCACTAAGAACGCGCTAGATGTGATCTTAAGAGGTAGCCTGCATGTCTGGTGACATACCTCACCTAACTGTCTGGTCTTGCAGCCCATTGTTCTACAACCCTCCACACTTCCGGACCAACTCATTAAGATGATGCAATGAATTGGTGATAATGACACCGTGGACACGGTATTGGGACCGCGAGTGCCGCAACCGGTGCCGTTGTGGCGCTCTCTTTGTGCTGTTCGAGTGCAGGTGGCACAAGGGGACCACTCCACCAAGTCAACATGCGTCCCATGAGCTCGGAGGGCCAGATGGGCTGAAGTCCGTTATTTCAAGTTATATGCACCACTGCAACATATCATATTCGGTGTGAAATATTTAGTGAGAGGGCTGAAATACTCGATTTTGAATGGCTTAGGATCAGTGATCGTCCAAATGGAATTGGCCTACTCTCAGCCCCTCGGCTCCTTTTGCGATTTCCGATCTGCTCACGCGTTGTTGTCGACGGGAAGATCCAGCCAACGAGTAACGTGTGCTAGAAAGATAATCAACGTAATAGCAACCTCTCCCGACAAAGGGTGAGGATGTATAATAATCAGTCATATCCGTCGTTGTCATGTCATTGTCAGCTGAGATGAGTCTGCCATGTGCCAGGTCAAGTCCGAGTCAGCTTGACGTGGAACACTCCTGTGCAGCTCAGGCTTAGACTGCTCTCGTGTCTACGTAGACCAGCTCATCCTGCCATCTCAGTATTTCCCCAAGACCCCAACCATCATCAACTCCCGGCTCAAGCACCGTCTGCTCGCGAAAGAGAAAATGAGACTCCCACTTCAGCGACAGGCGGCCACCGCGGCCTTCCTGTTGCTCGTCAGCTCCACGATGGCGGACGTCCCCCATTGGACCGACGCCGAGTCATACAACGCCGGGGCCCTCGGCGACGCCCCCAACCAAACCTTCCGCAGCAGCCCGGGCATCATGGCCCCGATCTTCCAAGTCACCAAGCTCGACATCTCACAACTCGACTCTGCCCCCTATCTCTTCCTCGACTGGCACTACGACCACGCCGGCGCGCCAATGATCTTCCGCGCCGACGATCTGAGTCTTGTGTACGCCGACCAGTGGTGCCCGCACGTCAAGAACACACGCGTGCAGGAGCTGGGTGGCGAGCGGTTCCTCACGTTCTGGGAGGGGGCTGACTTCTGGGGGTATGGGAGGGGTGGTTGTCTGTTTTTTGATGAGGGGTATAATCTGCGATATAACATCACGCCGATTGGGGATCAGTTTGAGTTGTTGACTGATCTGCATGAGTGTCAGGTTACGGAGGAGGGTACGGTGTTGATTGCGATTTATGATCCCATACCGTTTGATTTGAGTCCGATTGGGGGCCCGGTTGATGGGACGTTGTTGGATGGGGTGTTTCAGGAGATTGATCCAAAGACGAACAGCTTGGTGTTTGAGTGGAGGGCGTCGGATCATTATTCCATCACCGACTCGCCGGAGACTGTTGAGGACAATATGAGGGAGCATGGGTTTGAATTTTACCATATGAACAGTGTGGCCAAGGTAAGTCCAGTCTGGCTTCCCATCACCCCTGTCTATCCTAGGTCCCCGCCAGGCCTCGTCCCAGCGATCTGGCTTAGGCAAGGCGGTGATTCCTTCACAGCCCCTGACGTTGACACCCCCTCCCATGCCACAGTACGGCAAGAACTACCTCGTCTCCAGCGCATCCTTCAACCACGCGATCCTCATCAACGGCACCGACGGTAGCACAATCTGGACGCTTGGCGGCGAGGACAACGACTTCCAGTTTCTCCACGGCGACCCGGGTTTCGCCATGCCGCATCAGCCTCGCCTCCTCAAGTCCGAAGACAACTCCAACCACGTCACCCTCTTCGACAACCAGGTTGAACGAGTCAACGCCGTGGGCTGCACAGCAAACTGTTCCAGGGGTATACATGTGAAGCTTGACCATGAGAAGAAGACGGCCGAGGTTGTTCGCGAGTTTTTCCATCCCATGAGCCTCAAGTCCCTCGCCCAGGGCGGATTCACTTCCTTGAAAGGTGGGAATGTGTTGGTTGCGTGGGGTACCCAGCCTGGGGTGACAGAGCATAAGGCGAATGGGGAGGTGGTTATGGATATCCAGTTTGGGAGGATTGGGAATGAGTATCATCCGGAGTGGAATGCTGCGTACAGGGTGTTCAAGGGGCATTGGAAGGGACAGCCGGCGTGGGATCCGAGCATCGCGGTTGAGGATGGGACGGTGTATGTGAGCTGGAATGGCGCGACGGAGGTTGCTGGGTGGATTGTGGTAAGTTGTACCCTTGAAAAAGATGCTCGTGTGTGAGTGCAGTGGGAGGCTGACGATGGACAGTTTGGGAGTGACCACGCCGACAAGATCCACGGAAGCACTACGATTCTTGCCAAGTCGCCGAGGCGGGGTTTCGAAACGGTTATTCCGCTGTCGCATGTCCCGAGGTATCTGCGTGCCGCTGCCACCGACTCCAAGGGTCGGGTTTTAGGGTATACTGCCGCTTGGGACTGTATCATTAGGGGTGTCAGACATGACTGCGTGAACTGGCTAAGGTACCAGACTGGATATAAGCAGTACCTCACTTACCAGAATCTGAAGTCATGTATACCTCTCCGTGTGCTTTCTAAGTATCAGCGTGGACCTTTAACCCCTTAAACAGTCCACACCGCACCACCAGCTCCGCCGGCGTGCCAACGTCAACAACCATCCCGTTATCCAGTACCACCACACGATCATAGTTCAGCACAGCCTCAAGCCGATGGTTAATGGCAATCAGCGTCCTCCCACCAAGGCGGGTCTTGAGTAGGAACTCGATCTTCTCTTCGGTTTTCTTGTCGATACTGTAGGTACGCAGACCGTCAGTCAGTTGGGACCCAGTCGAGAAACCACCAGCCTGAGGGGACGACATACCTGCTCGTAACCTCATCCAACAACACAATCCTCCCCTTCCCATCCCCGTCCGGTGCCCCGGAGTTCTCCCTCTCCACATCCAGCACAACTCTCGCAACCCTCAACAACTGCTCCTCCCCCGCCGAGAACCTACAATCCTCCCTCCTCGCCGCCAACCCACCATAGCTCCTCATCACCACATCCAGCATGCCACATTCACGCAACACCGCCTCGACCCTCGCGTCCGAAAACACCCCATGCGGGTCCAGCGCCTGACGCAGCGTGTCAAACCCCTCCAGCTTGTCCTGCGAGATGACAAGGAACCGGTTGCGCAGCGCCTCGAGGGATAGAGTGAAATGGTCCACGCCGTCGATGAACACAGATCCGATGGGGGTGTAGACCATGCGTAGTAGTGCGAGGTGCATGGTTGATTTGCCGGAGCCTGTTCGGCCGCAGATGGCGATGCGTTCGCCGGGATTGATGGACAGGGTGATCCCGCGGAGGCTCCATTCCCTGTCTGGCCCTCCATGTCCGAGTCCTGGGGGTGTCATGCTTGTTTCTTCTTTTTCTGCGGCGGTCGTGGTGGTTGGAATCTCGCTGCTGGGGGGGTTGTACGTTGCCCATACATTCTCAAAGCGTATGGCGCCGCCGCAACCACCCGGATCACGGCTCACACCCCTCACACTATCCTCCTCTTCCTCAGCGGGAGTCTGCCGCTGAAAGAGCGCGATACGTGCTATAGCACCCAGCGACGTCTCCAGGCCCGTCCAGGCAATAATGAGCTGCGTCAGGGTCTCGCCGAGCGTCACGGCATTCAGAAACGCCACGCCAACTGCACCCGGGCTCACTCTATTCGAACTTTTCAGCGCGATAGAGGCGCCGAGCACCGCCACCACGAGGCCGGCAATTATCATGTTGAGCACCAGCTGCAACCAGCGCTGCGCAGCGTACAGGAGGTAAACGGGTTCCTGCGAGCGGTCGAGCTTTTCGAGGAACCTTGCCATGGTAACATCGGACCAGCCGTGCGCGCGTATGGTGGAGAGGCCAGCACCAGAGCCCGTCTCGGAAATCTTGGTTACCAAGGCGGCTGTGGCCTCGAGCTCGAAAAGACGCAGCTGTTTCGATGTCCGCAGATAAAAGTGCTGCACCAGGTACAAGACGATGAACATGACCGGGATGGCGCACAGCGCGGGCACTGACGCGACGGCAATGAGCACAATCTGGATGGTTGCCGTGAACAGCTCGGACGCCGTGTTGGACAGGTCAATGGGCAGCTGCATGTCGACAAACATGAGATCCTGGCTGAAACGGTTCAGCGTCGTGCCCGTGTCGACCTGGCTGATGACTGGGAATTGTGCTCTGAGAACCGTGGTGACGAGCTGGCCGTGGAGATGCTTGCCGGATCGGGTGATGACGTTGAATTGCTGGTGATATAACCACGCGCAGAGGACAACGAGTGGGAGAACTCCCAAGGCTGCATATGTACCCAGCCAGTATCCCAGCCGGTTGTTGTCGCCTGCCGCGGACGCATCTGACCACCATCGCACCCAAATGTCTGGATGGTTCCATCAAGATAAGCAAATGCCGGGCACACAATGTAATCAGGCTATGAGATGGATATGCACTTGCCAGAGAACTTAAAGCTGACTGACCAAGCCATGGCGCCGACCAGGAACACAGTCGAGTGGAGCAAGCCTACGGACTTGAAATACGTCTTGTACACAGTTCTGTCCCCTAGCATTTGCTTTGCGGTCTCTCTCTCGACGGCGTCCAGCGGTGCTTGAGCTTTGGCTGATGTTTGGGCGTATTTATTGTCGGTTGAGGAATGATCTGCCGCTTCCAAACTTTCGACGAATTCCATCAGGGGAGGATCAGAGAGTTGTCCTTCAGCGGCAGTCAATGAAGCCAGGCCTAGGTCTGGTCTACGGGACAGATGACCCCATTCGTCAATCTGATAAACCTCGTCCGCGAGGTTGGCAATACGTTCTGCCTACGTCAGCAACATACTCTCACAAAGACTGAGGATAGTCCTACCATCGTGGGTGGTATATATTGTCGTCTTCTCGGCGTTTATTGAGGTTCGATTGAATAGCATGTTGGCAACACGCCATCTCGTTCTTCGGTCCAAGGCACTGAACACATCGTCGAGAAGGAGGACGTCATTTTTCGTCGCCAGGGCTCTAGCTAGCGCCTACATACATATGCATGTCAGTTAGGGAACAAGCATGTGATTTTGTCCTTCAGAAGGGCATATGGACTCACCAATCTCTGACGTTGCCCACCACTAAGCATCACGCCGCCACTGCCAATGGGGCCTGAGGCGAATGTAGGCAGCCGAATGAGGTCATCCAGCGCGCAGTCCAATGCCAACTGTCGGTAGTAACCTGAATCACTTGCTTCTCTCCCGTACTGTATAATGTTTTGTTGCGCAGAGACGTTCTCAAGCCATGGCGTCTGGCTACAGTAGGCGAATGAGATGGACGGAGCTAAGGTAAGCTGCCCATCGGTTTTGTAGGCTTCACCGATGAGCCCCTTCAAAAGTAGCGTTTTCCCGGTCCCCACGGAGCCAATAATGGCAATCTTTGCCCCTTTCTTGATCTCAAAGTTAATATTTGTTAGTATCGGGCTACTTTTAGGGCTCCATCCAAGGGATACATCTCGAAGCGACATGATGTGCGTGTCCGCTGCCGGAGTATTGCGACCGCCAGCTTCAGAGTCCCCGTTGGGCATGACTTTTCTGAAGTCGATCCTCTCTTCCAGTAGAAGAAACTCGTGTAGTCGCTGGAAGCATCCGTACGCGCCACCGAGTTGAGGGATTACCTGGAAGAGACGGACCAAAGGCGCGGACAGCAACGTGATAATGACCAGAGATGTGAAAACCTTGGATACACTGAAGTCGTAGCCGCTGCCGGCAGTACCGACATACACGCCGAATATCAGAGGAGGAGAGAGAGTCAAGGGACAGTATGCTGAGTTGGTAAGGTGCTGTCAGCGAAGTGGTATGGTATATTCTCCGCGTACTGGTGCGCGTGAGACTTACACAGAATGTTGGTTACCACCATGAACCAACGGAAAGAAGAAGAATCTTTTATTTCGCAGTTCCGAAGTTTGGTCAGGGTTTGATAAGCCACCGAGGTTTGCGAGGTCATTTTGATCCCCTTTAAACTGTCCAGCACCTGCTTGGTACGCTTCAATCGTTTCTGCGTAGCCGCCAGCCACTTTTGTTGGCTAGCACCTGTCTTCTTCATGATTTGCATGGAACCCAGACCGGAAACTTGATGCGGTCGTTAGCTATCTGTGATTTGCAACACGGATTTCCTCGTTGTTACTGAATTCACTCACTTGCGGCAACTCCGAGCATGACGAAGCAAGATGGCCCAAGTTGTCTGTACAACAACCAAGTTGCTAACCCAGTGTCGATAGTGCCAGCCCATACTTCATGACAGTGGGCCACAGCTTGCATGATCCTCTGGAGGTCCGCGACCATGAGCGTGGTGGCCATTGATTCGAGTTTGTCACCTTCAGGAAGCCTCAGGAGCTTTTCGAAGATGGCGATCGCAAGCCCACCACGGATCATGACGGCACAGCGAAACGCCTGATGCCAGTACCAGCCGGTGGCAGCAGCAATACCGACATAGCATAGAAACGCCGCGCCTATTAGTCCATACCCATGGCTAGCTGGGATGGGATAGTCAGCTTCGAGGTATGCCAAGGCTGCATTAGCGAGAAAGGGCTGAGTAAAGGTGAATGCCGTGACGGCGAGTCTTGCAATGACGGGAGCAGCCCAAGTACGGCCCAAAGCGAAGAATGTAAGCCAGATGAGCCGGTTGCCCGTCGACGAGCCCTCTTGCTCTGAGATATCAGCCTTGCTTCCGTATTGACTACCGATACCCCGGAACTTAGGTCTCAGACGCGCCGTGAGCAGGCGGTCGTCAATGGGGCCGAACTCTTCAAGGTGTAGCACTCCACGGTAACCGCCAGCCATCAGCCTATTCAGCCAGTGAAAGACAGTGCGGCTGATGGGACCGGCCAGCAGCTCGTCAGCCACCTTCTCGTCAGGCGCTAGAAGAAGCTCTCTCTTGCTCCAAATCTCAAAGTAGAGAGCGATAAGTCTGATTCCGAGAGCCACGGACAGGGTGGCCGCCAAGGCCGCCTCTCCATTCAGCCAGTGAGTACGTGTCCGAGTGGCCTCAAAAAGACATGTCAGGGAGAGGAACACGACCAGCAGCGAAGCAGGCCGAAGGGACTTGAGATGCTCGAAGTGAGACACGACTGGGATAAAGATGGTCGCGACGAGCGAAGTAACGGCGCTGGGGATCGAGGCCGCCGTCTTGTTAGCGAGTTGTGTTTGCACGACAAGGACGGCAATCTGTGAAGCTGATAGTGCGGCAGCGCAGAAAAGCTTGATCCAGTACAGCCGGCCATGGCGGACTAGCGTTCGAGCTCGGTGTAGAGACAGAAGGGAGGCGATGGCGAGGATGACGAAAGTGCATGCTGGAACAATCACAAGCACCACTTCTTCGAAGAGAATCGTGAAGTCGAAATCCCGGCGGCAAGGCGACACTGACGGCCCGAAATCCGTGTCGGCCGCGAAGCCGCACTGGATTACATCCATTGATTTGTTCCAGGATAAAAGAGTGTAAGTACTGATATCATGGATTCATGGGTGCTAGTGTAAGTCCTAGATTTCAGTATGGGGGTGGTTCTCGAGTTGGGGAAGGGCTTGAGAAATTCGTAAGCCGCGATCTGCTAATTACATGGTTAAGGTAGGTAGGTAGCTCGTTGGTGGGTGGTACGAAGTGGTATCCTCGAGGCACGGAGGGAGGATTTGACGCACGTGCAGGGGCCTAATTACATAATGGACTCGCCCTGCGATGGGAGGCCTGTCTCGATCGAATAACATGCTCTGGGTGCAATTACTCTTCCTATGATGCCTCTTAAATCTACTGTTAAAGCGGACGTTGGGGTTGAGGTCCATACCGAATGCACGCATGTTGAGCTTCAAATTGACCAAGTTATGGTGGTTCGAAGGTTGTAGGTGGATAGAAGGAAGACGCGTGGGAGAACGCGATCGCGTTAGATCAATAAGTGGGGTTATTAAGCAACTTTTGACCCCGGGGTTGTGACTTCCCCGTATCAACATAACACAGCGGGATTGACTTCCATTAGTGAATTTCAAGAGCGCTTCAGACTTAACTCTTCTATTGCTGTCAAGCCGTTGTTGATAGTCGGTTTAACTTCGAACTATTACAAGCCAAATGCTAGGACACGTCCCATCGAGAACCACGAGTTCCACCAAGAATCCATTCTTTTGCTACGACTGTTTTACACCATTGTGGCCAGTTGCAGCACGGCATCACCAAATATGCATTTCCGCCTCAACGTCTCGTTCAGGACTGACTTGGCCACAGTTATCGCTTTCCTGTTGCCAGAAACCTCGATTTCACCGCGTTCAACCTCGTCACACAACGGCGTGCGGCACGCAGTTCCCGAGTGGATGGCGAAAACTCCACCAAATTCCCAGAGTAACAACCCCCAAGTTCTGATCACTGCAGGTATGCTTGCTGTTACGAACCCCTTTCGAACCGTGCAATCCAGACATCCATGTTCCTAGCACTATCCACCCCGCCCTCCAAATTTCCCACGCTGGCTGCAACCGCGTCGAGCATGGTCCGCAACATGATACCGATCTTGAGATCCGTACGAGAAACCACCTCATCCAGGTCCTTACGAAACAGGCGCCGCGGGTTGAGCACCATTTCCGCTTCATTCCTCGCATCAGCCTGTCTCACCAAAGGCGTGGCAATTTCCTCCTTGGCCAACGCCCAGCCGGCATCCGCGGCAAAAGATGTGATCTGACGCGGGCTGAGCGCGCAGCGTATGTTTCGTTTCGACTCCTCCCCTCGGAAGCTCTCTAGAGCGTTGGCCGCGAGGGCAGTGAGAACGTGAGGCACCTGAGCTAAATGGGAAGCGGAGAGACTGTACTCTGCGATGAGCACGCTCCGGACATGTTGACAGGCCGCTTGGAGTGTTCTTTTCAGGATGTCCGGACTGGAGAAATACCAGATGGAGTAGCCAAAAACGATGAAATCGAACGTTTGCCCGCCAGCGCCTCCCGACAGATACGCGATGGGGTCAGCCTGTACGAAGGTGATCTGGTGTCCTACAGGAGAGACGCGGACATGGGCTTGAGCTGATGCATAGTCCGGGGTGCCTATTTGCCCGGGTTTGATTAGGATGATGAGGGTTATCCACGGCGAGGACAAGGATGGCGGTAAACTATAAAGAAAGTTGACGAACCCCAGTGCAGCGGCGCATTGTCAACGGCGACTACGCGGCCTGTGCGTCCAACGGCATCAGCCAGCACGACAGTGAGGTCACCCTGGCCTGGTCCGATTTCGAGCACTGACGCTCCAGGCGGGATGCCCCAGGCTCGGACGACCTGCTGGCGATGTTCAAGTGCGGCTAGGTGGTTTTCCTTGTCGTAATGATTGGGGTCGTAAAGGAGACACGCCGACAGCTCTTGCGGTGAAAGAGAGCCCATTGTGTCTGCCCAAGTACGGTATGTTCTAAACCATAGACTCCTTTCCAGTTCGCTCTCTTGGAAATGTATCATGTGCCAGGTTCATGTCATGGTTGTGTCGTAGACTTTTACAACGCTTTCCCTGTATACATGCCAAACGCATGTATACAGATAGAAGTACTCCGAGTCGACGGCCTACTCAGGCGTTGGGGCCGAGATACCTCTCCCGACCAGTTGACGAATACCTACCTGCTCAGGTAGGCAGGTCGGCTGTGTGTGACCAGACGTCGTATTAGCCATGCATGTAAGCACTGCATGCAAGTAGGTAGAACCATCCGCCACCTCGCGGAACTCCGCCTTTTGCTAAGTGCTAGTAGTAAGCCCCTTATTGTACGTGCCACTCAGGAGGTACAATACGTACCACCCCACATGACATGAGCACATCCCGGGTAGCCCGGATGATGGATTTGATCGTCCTCGTGGGGGGGCGGCCGCCCTGAAGCACCAGGGGAGATCAAGATCTGGTGTTGTATAGGTAGTGTATGCTATGATACTGGAGGATACTGGTATATGCAACCCGGAAGGATCGAATCCTTCCCCCTTCTGCCAGGGAGAGGGCGCATATTGCAATCGAGAATGCTACCCTGCGTTCCATCCGACAGACCCAACGCGTATTCTATTTGGGCCCTAGCCGGATGGTGATTTGGATTTCCATCTTGATTGGCATCGATTAATACGGCGCCTCATGCAAATGGCTTACTAGGACCAGTATCCATGGATTCAAGTTATTGCCGCTGATCAGTAGATGCTCGCAACATTATGGCTTTGTAAGATCTCCATCTACCTCTTTGCAGCTTTGTAAGATATGTATCGACCCGAAGTGTAACGATCTTAGCACCTTCCTTATGTACTCGGTACTTGCAACTGTCCCTAGTACCGTAGTAGTACGTGCTAAGTAGTAATATGGTCAGAGTCAATCAATACATGGCTTTCAGCCAGAGGAATGACCTTGCCACCTCTCTCAGTTGTGTTAGCGGGGGTTATCATTGGCATCTTGGCCTGTTCTGTCATGCATCGACGACGTTAGTGTTTACCTTAACCTATTCCGATGGTGAGGAGGAGATAAGGCCCCCGGCCGACGGACTATTCCACTTATAACCCGGGCTGCAGGCCAACACTCTTGTACATTAGAAACATTACCAAGGGTTGCGAAGTCCACGCTCGTGTCTCAAACGTAATTGATACTAGTACCTACCTATTCTTCTAGCCCCAATCCCCATCCCCTTATACATCTGCCTACCTAGGTACTATAAGTGACTTTTTCTGCCGTACAGTAGTACATGTAGTGGCGAGGAACTACGGTAAAAAACTTCACTGCACGCTGTGCATCGTACTTGTGCAGTATGTATGTACAGTACTTTAATGCCTGGCCTGACACTGGTCACTGGTGTGCCTGCACGCGTATAAGTAACCACCGACTTAAAGCCGAGCAATGTACTTCAGGTTAGTAGCCTACCTAGGTATCACTGGATGCATCGACGTCATTGACGTCGCAGTGAGCGCAAGTCGGGTAGTGGAGAACGGGAAGAGCCACTGGCAGGCAGCGCCTGACGCGCCACAGTCCTACAGACACTAGTATACCTAGGTACGTTTGCTACACTACTACAGGCAAATCCTGCAGCCACTTTGTGCAGGAGAATACTAATAGTAGGTAGTACCCGCGGCCCGCCTGTAGTGTAGGCGGTAAGCAGGTCACTGCTGCATGCCCAAGGCAATTACACTACTGGCGCCAGCTCTGGAGCAGGGCCTTGATCCTGCGAGGGGCAATGCATACGCAGACGGAAGGTGGAATCTTGCACTGTCCGGAACGCACCCCGGATATGCCTGGGACGTGTGCTGCGGGCGGGCAAATGCACGGATCTAGTGCAAACAAGGGAATGCTTCTCCAAGTTCTTCTGCACCTATCCTTGTTTGAAGATGTTCCTACACGTGTACACTGGCCTTCATTGGCTTGTCCTGAGGTTGAGTTAAGCAACGCCAGGGAACGCGCCGACTCGACGGCTCGGGCAATGCCGCGCATTGGCGTCATTGCCGCGCCCTAAATAGGCGAATCCACCTGCCAAGTCCGGGGCGGTTCCCGACTACAACCGGCGGTCAACCGGTCACGCTTCCGGGGGTTGGCTGTACATACGTGCTCTCGTGACATGGCGACATGCTATGGAGAGATGGTGACACACCCCTAGGTTTACAACATTCTCCCACTGTCACGGTTGGAGGTCTATGGTTACCATGGAGAATTGTGCATTTACTAGATAGGTACATACCTTCGGTACAAGTAGTAGTGTACTAGTACTACCTAGACCTACCACTAAGGTAAATCCACGCCATTACTTATACACTTTGGGACTTGGATTGCAGTAGGTACTTAGCCAGAAGAAGGCAAATTGCGGTATTTCTACTTGACAGCTATACTAGGTATAAACACAAACAGATTCTGAACCCATTCCTTCGGCGGGGGTGCATGATTGAGGACCCGGCAACTGCTAACACTGGGCACATTGGGCAACGGTGGTCTTGAGACCCGTGACACATTGGGGCTGAGTGAGAAACAACCACCATCGGATGATGTTACCTAGGTACTTAGTACCTTAGTAATGACCCGGCCATATGTTCCCGTCCTCCCTCAAGCTACCAGCTGTGATCTTTGTGATCACCGTGGTACTGCGGCTGCTCAGCTTTGTGCTCACCGTGACCGGCAGCGTGCTCACTGGCATCTTCTGGCCACACTGGGGGCAAATCCGGGTTCTCATGCACCTCAATCTCCCCATTAACCATGGGAAATGAGATACCTAGATTAGTAACGCCAGAGCAGTCAGCAACTCAGCCGTTCAACCGGTAGAAAAAAAAAAAAAAAAAGAAGAAGAGCCTCACCAAGTGTCGGATGAACCAGCGTCTTCTGATCGAAAATCGAAAACGACCTCTTGGCCGCCCACTCATCCAGCTTGCCCCAATCCACGCACGTCTGGTCCAGATGGAAATTCGCCATGGGCTTGCGCTTCTGCGGGTGCCACCAGAACGTCACGACCGACAAATCCGGCTGGCACATGATGGCCTGGCGGATATCGTCGATGCAGTGGTCCGCGTGGCCGCGGAGGTCGTTGATGCTGACGTTGTACGCGTCGTGCCACACGACCAGCCGCAGCATCTTGAGGCAGTGGAGGTGGTGGTAGGCGCTCAGCTGGCCAAAGTACCCCCCCCCCTCGCGCAGCTCGATGGGTTTTGGGTCCTCGCTGCGGTTCAGCTTGCGGATCTCATCCGCGGTGAACCGGATGTTGTAGTGCTTGAACAGAGCGCCCCAGGCGTCTTCTGTCTCCGGGCGTGGTGGGCCGGTGTACTTGGTGCGCAGACCGAGACTCCCGTCGAATTTTGTAACCTGGTACTTGATGGCTTCCTTCGCTGGGGCTGGGACGGACGGACGGGTGTTAGTTGCTATGCTGTCATGAATGGATTGTTTGAGCCGGAGGCGTGGCAAACATACTGTAGGTAAGAAAGGGGTCAAGACTTGGGCGGCTCCCAAGACGCGGCAATGTGAGGAGTACAAGGCTGTAGGCAATGAGAAGGAGAGATGCGAGAGCCCAGCGTAACCACTGAGAACGCCGCTTCCTGCCATGAAAGGACATCTCGTCCTCGGAGTCATCCTTTTCACTCTCAGTGAGGAGCCGTTTGTAAGTGGCGCTGAACCTGTCTGGCGACTCCATAATGAACTTGAAGATTAAGGGCCCTAGGGAAAGATAGACTTTGTCAACTCAAAAGTAATGGAACAATAACACGACAAGAAGGGGGCAACGAGAGAGAGGAGCATGAAGATAGCAGTAAAATCCTAGGAATATGGAATCGTTATGATTTGGTTCAAGCACCTGTGCATCCAGTCCCTGCCACCTGCCTGAATCGTCTTCCATGTTGTCTCTCGAGAACCTGGCCTGATCGCCGGTTCAAAATCCATGCATTTACTGTACTTGTTAGATCTTGGCAAGCGGGGTCGTACAGAGATCAACCAGATTGAGTCCTGCAAAGGACGAGTGTTAGTTGCAGAACTTGATCCTTCATGTCACGGTAGACTCACTCAGCAGCCGACAGGAAGGTATCATGTGTCTCGAGTTTGAGTCCTGAGCCTGCAATATGCTGAGTGATATGACGACAACCCGCGGCCGAGCATGTAACGTGAAAAGGGGGGCCGGATAACTCAGCATGCAGCTTTGCTTCACATTTTCCCTTTCCGGTCTGGATTAGCAGGAATCCTTCGATAAGACATAAGTGCATTGCTGTCTCGAGGAGCCAATAACCTACACGGCGGAAACATGTCCGTGAGTGTCTTGCATCGCCGGCCTGAAGCCGGCCATTGAAAACCTGCCAGCATATTGATCAGATCATCATTGCATCAGGAAGAAGGTTACAGTGCTCAGTTTCCAGATTATGCCATGCGACTCTCGTTTTGCCTCATTGCCTGGCAGGTTGGCAGACCTTCCTGTTTGGACCTAGGTAAAAGAGTCCTCCGATGCTCTCTTCCGACGAGCCAATGGACTGTACAGCTGAAGTGTGGTCTTTGTGTTTGAGGCCGTTTGCTTGTAGAGATTTGGTAAGGAGAAACGAGGTTCGTAGGTGGTAATCATCATATGGAAGATGCCCTGAGCGGGATCAAGGCCGATTGATGTCCCTGGAGATCAAGTATAAGTAGCACAGGATAGTACACAAGGTCAGCTTCAAGAAGCAGGGCATTCAACCCAACCGTTCAGCCTCGAAGCCATCTTTGAAATCACTTCACTCCACTCAGTCACCGTTTAGCAACCCACTTAGTCTCCAGTCCAAGACCATCTTTCATCATGGTTCTCAACGCCAAGCTCATTGCTCTCTTGCCGCTCCTGGCTACGGCACTTGCTGCGCCCCTGGCCGGTCCCGCAGGCCGTAAGTCTAAGCCTCTTGTCCCCGCTAACTGTCCATCATAAGGTTAGTTACTGAGACTTGTTGTCTACAGTCAGCCAGGACGCCGTGCAGAACTATGAGAAGCGTGCCCTCGCTGAGGACGCTGTTCAGAACTACGAGAAGCGCGCCCTCGCTGAGGATGCTGTTCAGAACTACGACAAGAAGCGTGCTGCCGGGCTCGCTGAAGATGCCGTGCAGAATTACGAGCGTTCGGCCGGTTATGGTGAAGACGCAGTCCAGAACTACGACAAGAAGCGTGCTGTAGGGCTGGCTGAAGACGCTGTGCAGAACTACAACAAGCGCACCGCCGGTTATGGTGAAGACGCAGTCCAGAACTACGACAAGAAGCGTGCTGCTGGTCTTGCCGAGGACGCCGTGCAGAACTACAACAAGCGCGCTGCCGGTTATGCTGAGGATGCTGTGCAGAACTATGAGCGTTCAGCTGGGGTGACTGAGGACGCTGTGCAGAACTACAACAAGCGCACTGCCGGTCTCGCTGAGGATGCTGTGCAGAATTACGAGCGTTCGGCTGGGCTGACTGAGGACGCCGTCCAGAACTACAACAAGCGTGCTGCCGGTTATGGCGAGGATGCTGTGCAGAACTATGAGCGCTCGGCTGGGCCAACTGAGGATGCCGTACAGAACTACCAGAAGCGTGCGGCCGGACTCACTGAGGACGCCGTCCAGAACTACAACTAAGGTAGAACCCTGAAGCGTGAGGCCGGACTCGTCAAGTGATGCTAGCCCAGGTCACTGGGTTATCATACTTGGACGTGGAACGTGCCACCCACCGGACACTGTAGTTAGGTATTGTTGCGTGCGCAGGGCAGACCGGTGATATCGAGCCCAGAATTGGAGTTGAGTTGTAGTTGAAGTGGACTAGTAGTGGAAGATCGCAGCTAGGTAGCTCTTGAAGTCAAATGGACGTAGAAATAGGCCGCGAATACAACGTCGTACCTATTCTAACTCTAAGTACCTTACCTAAGTTAACAAACCAACGTCGTATCGGTGGGTTACACGCATCCGCGCGGTAGTAAGGTATGTACCTCGTAGTGAGAAAAGGGGGGCGGGGGTTTCGGACATTAGTACACTCCAGCACTCAAGAGTCAAGCTTGACATGTAAGTTTGGCGCAGGCAGGGCAAACAGGCACATGTGCCTGCGCTAGACTTACATACAGTTCGAGACTCAAGAGCCGAATCGTGATGTCAGCCGCCCAACCCAACGATGACGATGACGACGACGGCAGCGACAACTTCGTCACCAGCCAGGCCAAGCCATAGATTAACAATTGATAAATCATTCAAATGTGCGGTCTTTTCGGCTGATGGCAAAGTGTTGTCTTCCGGACATGGATTGGCCATTGCGGGTTGTAGACGTAGTGGCTCGAGTGGGTACCGGTCCTCCGGGTGGGCCGGGTTTCGGATCGCGGCGGGCCCCGGGTTCCGGATTCTCCGGATTTTCCGGCTTGAAACGCAATGGAGAAGTTGGTGGTATTCTGCGAGAGAGAAGTAAGGTAGTTTAAGGTTCAAGTTTCAGATGCCAGTCCGAACCAAATAAATACAGGTATTGTACGCAGTGGCTCCTTCCACTTTTACACGCAGATGCCTAATGCCCGGTTGAGGCCGGTTCCCGTATGGAATTTGCATTAGTAAGGGTCAGGGTTATATATGGATAGTTTGGCCCCACATACGGTGAGACAATCCATCCCCTGAATTTACCCATGACTCCCGTGAGCCAACCTGTTCCGACGCGCCTGGGAACGTCGGAAGTTGCATTGCAACCACCCACCCACCACTCTGCAACTGTTTATCGAACGAAATCTGAATGCAGCGCATTCAGCACTTGCAGCAAACGAGACAGAAGGCAAGGAAGACATCCCAATGCCGACCGCCAGCCAAGAAGAGAGGCCTTTACTGGGTTACAATGGCACAGGTAAGAGCGATGACCATGAGGAGAAGCACCGCCGGCGTGTTATCGCCGTGACCTTTGCCATGGTTCTTCTGATGGACCTTGCGGCCTTCTTCTTGGACGCGCCCCAGACGAGCATCCTGGAAGCCAACATTTGCAGCCGTTACTACGAATCATCCGAGCCATACAATTACAACTTCAATCAAGTCGAAAAAGATTGCAGAGCTGCACCTGTCCAGGCCGAGCTTGCGACCGTCAACCAGTTACTCAACACCTTCAACCAACTGCCTGGTCTTTTCGTCGCAATCCCCTTCGGCATCATCGCCGACCGTTACGGCCGTCGCCCCTTGTTTTACTTGATCATCCTCGGCGCGATGTTGCAGGATATCGTCGCCAAGACTGTCCTCTGGCGGCCCGACCTGTTCGCACCGCGTCTTATCTGGCTGTCGTCGCTTCCTCAGTTTGTAGGCGGCGGGGACGCCGTCTCTAGCTCCATGACCTTCTTAGTTGTCGCCGACGTCACTCCGGCAGACCAACGAGCCAAGCTATTTTTCCTCTTAACCGCCTGCGCACAAGTAGGAGAAATCGTGGCGACGCCCTTGAGTGCGCTGCTCATGTCCATCTGGAACCCTTGGATCCCGTACCTGCTATACAGCGTCTTGACCCTTCTCGCGGGCATGATTCCTGTTCTCTTTCTGCCGGAGACTTTGTCGCGGTCCGTATCGCAGTCTGAAACGGAAACGGAAGCGGAAACGGAGTCGGAAACGTCTCCGTACGGCTCGGGGTCCGATACGGGTGTGAACGAAGGCTTGCCAACCGCTGCGGATGGGACGGCAATGACACCCACGCACTATAGTCCTATATCGAAATTCCGGCCCCTTATGAAGCACAACATTATTGCTGTTCTGTTGGCTTTCTTCGTTTCCGCGTTAGGACGCCGGTCAACGGGCTTTCTCTTGCAATACATCCGACAGCGGTTTGATTGGACATACGAAAAGGTGCGTACTGAATTGCATTGAGTTACCTACCTACTGGATCCGATTAACCGTACCATCTTCACTCCAGGCTAGTGTCTTAATCACCCTCCGCGCAGTCGTAAACTTCACTCTGCTCCTAGCCGGACTTCCGGCCCTCCAGAAACTTCTCGACCTGCGCAGTTCAAGCACCGCGCAAAGCAAGGACCTCCTCATCAGCCGCCTTTCCGTCGCCTTCTTCGCCATCGGCTCGCTGGTTATTTCGTTGGCTCCGGTTGTGGGCCTGGCCGCCCTGGGCATCGGCATCTTCGCACTTGGTTCCGGGTTTCCTCCTGCCGCGCGCAGTCTCGCAACCACCTTTGTCCACCAGGACGAGGCAGGGCTGCTCTACACTGCCCTTGCCATAACGCAAACAGTGGGTGGACTTGTAGCAGGCCCCTTGCTGGCTCTGTCTTTTCGGTGGAGCCTCAGCCTTGGCCACGAATGGACTGGCATTCCATTTGCCCTGGTGGCCGGCTTGTTTGCGTGTGGGTTTATTGCGGTTTCCTTTGTACGGTTGTGATGAGTTATATTAGACTTTTAGACAGATAAGTCAAGGCAGTTTCATGAGCGACGTTCGATATGTGTACTTGGCAATACAAAGTGCACTTTGAGCTGTCTCGCTGGACCCTAACCCTGTGGAGCCATCGTGCTGCCTGGGTGCGCAGCTGGCAGCTGACACCAGCGGGTGAATAGCTGCGGGGAGACTTGAGGAAAGAACCCCACCAAAACTCTCGCGTTAGGTTTGTCGGGGCATCTGATGTCATGCGAGTCTCCGAGACAACCTTAACAGTTAAACGCCACAAACAGACGCAGGCCAGGCGTGAAGTAGTTATCTCGAAAAGGTAACTGCCGTGTAGGCTTGCCCAACCAAGATGACAACGTGAGTGCCAACAACGCCAACGCCGTTGCCTGCAATCCAGTCTGACGAGAATGCCGCAGTTCCAACATCTTGTCGCTTCCCTTCCGGAAGTCGGCCCAGATATCCCTGGCGTCGTCAATCCGCCAGTACATCTCGAACAAGTACGACCAACACCCAGACATGTTCCGCCATGACCTCGAAGTCATCGACTCCCTGCGACGCGACGCCGTCAACGTGCGCGAAGCCCATCCCAGCGGAATCAAGAAGCTGCAGATGTATGCCGGCCAGCTGGTCTGGATATCCGGAAAATTCCCGATTGATGTGAGCTTCGTCTTACCATAGCCTTTGCCCTTAGCCCATGGCAACTCCAGTGACTGACTCGATGGTATTGCCTGGCAGATCGGCGCCGACTTCATGTGGTATCCCGCGCTCGGCTACCATACCGAGCACCCGCTGGCCCAGAACAACCTCAAGTACGAGCTCATGAACATCCTCTACAACCTGGCCGCGCTATACTCGCAGCTCGCGATATCCTCCAACCGCAGCGTGACTGAGGGTCTCAAGGCGGCTGCCAGCTTCTTCTCCCAGGCCGCCGGCGTGCTCAGCCACATGAAGACCGAGGTGCTGCCGGAATTGCGCATGGCCAATCCGCCCGACGACATGGACGAGGCGACGCTCGAATCCCTGATCCAACTGTTCCTGGCGCAGAGCCAGGAGTGCTTCTGGCAAAAGGCCGTTATGGACGGCTACAAGGATGCGTCGATTGCCAAGCTCGCCGCTCGCGTGTCCGACCTGTACAATCTCGCCGGAGAGGCTGCCATGCGCAGCGAGGCCATCAGCTCCGCTTGGATTCACCATATGAGCGCGAAGCACCATCATTTTGCTGCCGCTGCCCAGTACCGTGCTGCTTGCGACTGCCTCGAGAAGAAGAGATATGGCGAGGAGGTGGCACGCCTGACTGATGCCGTTCAATGCGTGAATGAGGGGTTGAAGGAATGCAAGGGCGGCTATATCAACAAGGCGGTGGTTGAGGATCTCCATGGCTTGAAGAAGCGCGTCGAGGAGGATCTCAAACGAGCCGAGAAAGACAACGATGTCATTTATCTGCGTGCGTGTTTTCCCATGTCCTTCACAAACGAGAGTTACTGACTCGTATGCAGAAATCGTTCCGCCCAAGTCCGAGCTAAAGATCCTCGAGCGTGCAAACATGGCCGTGGCCCGGGTGCCCCCCCAAGTTGCAAAGCCGTACGAGTTCTTTGGAGACCACGCCGAGTTCGGGCCTGCTCTCTTCACGAAGCTGGTTCCATTTTCCGTCCACGTTGCCGTTTCAATCTACGAAGAACGGCGCGACCGCCTGGTCAGCAACAACATCATTGCAGAGTTGGAGACGATGACGGCCAAGTTGCACCAGATCCTCTCCAGCCTAAACCTCCCTGGGTCCTTGCAAGCCCTCGAGAAACCACTGGGACTGCCCGGAACCCTGGTCCAACATGCCGAGGAAATCCGCCAGGCCGACGCCTTGAACAGACTTCAGCGTGGCCTCGCAGATATCGACAAGCTGTGTGCCAGTGACCGCGCCGTCTTCGAGGAGGGCAAGGCGCTCCTCGCAGCAGAGGAGGAAGAGGACCAGAAACTGCGTCTCAAGCACGGCACCCAACGCTGGACTCGGCCTGAATCGCGCATGGACGCGAGCCACGACGGCGGGACCAAGCTGTGGAACCAGGTGGCCGAGATTGAGGGTTATTTCGCATCTAGTACATCTAGCGACGCCGTGGTACGCGACAAATTCGCCTCGGTTAAGGACACCCTTGCCCTTCTTGCTGGCCCTGACAGGGGGCTATTGGACCACATCCCGAACAGCCGAAAGACCGAGATCCCAGAGGCCCTCAAGCCCGCGATTGGGAGGCTCCGAGGCGTCTACAACGACGTTTTGCGTCTGGAGTCGCGGAGGAGGAAGCGGGTAGAGTCGCTTAGAGCCAGAAGTAGGGCCGACGACATCAAGGGGGATATCCTGACAGAAACGGCCCGCCTGGAGCGGACTTACCCAAACACCCCTATCGTGCCGGCCCATTTCGAAGAGTTCTTTGACAAACGACTAGACAGCCTGTACGAGTCCGAACTTGAGGCGGTCGAGAAAGACCGTGCAGATCAGGAGAAGCTCGTCGCCGACCTGGAGCGCGCCAATCGGGATTTCGAGGCGCAGAAGAGGAGTGTTGGTGAAAGGGGGAACCATGATCGGGAGAAGGTCCTGCAGAAGCTCGACAGCGCTTACTACAAGTACAAGGATATCGTGAACAACCTGGAGGTGGGGAGGAAGTTTTACAACGACCTCGGTCGGATTGTGGAGCAGTTCCGCAACCAGGCGCGCCACTGGGTCAACGAAAGGAGGAAAGAGGCGCGCAACCTCGAAGAGTGAGTGGTCGGCCGAGTTTTCGAGAGTACATACTGACTAATCATATTCAGGGAACTCTCCATGCCTCCCCTATCGTCTCTCTCGCTCAATCCCAGCCAAGCATCACAAGCACAGACGTACCATAGCCCGAACCCGGCGTCTTACTACATGTCACCGCCACAGTTGCAACCGCAGGCGGCTAGGCAAAGCATCCACAGCCCACCGGCCGAAGCACAGATCCAGAGCTGGGCTGATAACGTGCAGCAACAGCAGCCGCGCCCGTTTGCTCCCATCGCGCCGGTGGCCAACATTCAGGGCGCGTGGATGCCAGAGATGGGCATCAGGTTCGCGGGGCCGGGGCAGTCAGCTAACAGAACGGACACGCCGCCCGCACAGCAAGGGGGTGGTAAACCTCCGGCGAGAGGGACGTGGGAGCCGAGTAGCGGGATTCGATTTGGCTAACGTGGCTAAGACGGTGTTGGGGGTAGAGATAAGTAAGGTACAGTGCGATTGTTGAGCATTTTCGAAGGGTACTAGAGAGATATCCAATTGTCGCGCAAACAGGATCGGGTGTCATTCCGACTCACAGCGGCCGGTTGTTCCAAGTTCCAACCACACTCAATACAATGGCTTTCCAATCTACAGATCTCAGTTGCATGAGACCCTCACCCCTCCGCCTCGGTGATGAACATCCGCAGGTTCTTGAACCTTGGTACGAGATAGTGCACCTCGTCCCACCCCTTTTGCGGATCCACAAACTGGAAGTCAAAGTCCCGCATCAACTAATCCCGTCCAGTCAGCTTCCCTTCCCTTACCCTTTCTCACCCCATCAAATATTGACATGAAAACACTCACCTCAAAAATAACCTTATTCAACTCAACCATCGCCACATGCTTGCCCGAACACGTCCATCGCCCGCCCCCAAACACAATGTCCAGGGCCTTGATCCGGTCGGTGTCGAGCTCGATCTCGTCATACGTCATGCCCGGTTTGTACTCGGTGCGGAAGAAGCGCTCGGGCCGGTACACGTCGGCGTCGTGGCCGAAGATGGCGCGGTTGCGGGTTAGAGCGAGGGTGTTGTGCCCTACGGCGGTGCCGGGTGGTAAATAAATCCCGTGGAAGGTTTCGCCCGGCGGTGGGACGAGCTTGTAGTGCCCGTGGTTGACGGGGTTGCGGATGCGGAAGGATTCGTATATCACGGCCTGGTTTTTTATAGTAAGTAAGGTAGGTGGTTGTTGGGGGGTGTTTATGGTAGGCTGACAGGGGGTTGACGGGGTGGATAGGGGTTGGAATGGTAGGGAGGCGCCGGGGCAGGCCACGAAAAGGGGTGGGGAGGGTTACCTGCAGATAAGGCAGCTTTTGTGCCTGCTCCAGCGTGATGGGCTGGTGGGCGTCAACATGGCCGCTTTTGATGGCGTCGCGGATCTCGTGCTTCAGCCGCGCATACGCGCGAGGTGCGGTGGCGAGGGACACGACGGCGGCGGTCAGGGCGTTGGCGGTCGTGTCGGACCCGGCGAAGAGCTGGAGTAGGGCCTCGCCTTCGACTTCTTGCTGGGACATGCCGTTGCGGATGAAGCCGCCCTGGCGGAGGTATCAGATATCAGTAGTGGGAATTTCCACAGGTTAGGTGGGTGGTATAGTAGTTGTTGAAGCTTACAATCATGTCGTTGTGCTTCTCACCAGACTGAAATCGTTCAGTGACGATCTTGTTGACGATCCTGCGGTCACCTCAGTCAATATCTGCAACCAGAACTGTCCGGCGAGTGTCAAACCGGGATACGCACCCCATAACTTTACCCACCCCGGTTTTATCGGTGATCTGGGGCCCAAACTTCTCTATCCCGTACGGCGAGAACATAATCCGCCGGAGCAGCGGCACTTCCAGCGGCAGGCTGATAATAAGCACCCGCTTATCAATCATCTCAATCCACCCATACACATCAGTCCCCTCATCAAGATACCCAAACGGCTTCCCGTACCCCAACCGTGTAATCACATCCAGCGTAAAGAACCTCATCAGCCGACTAACATCAACCGGCTTGACCACCTCACTCCCCCCAGCCGCCGGAGACAACAACTTCCTCCTAATCAACCCCTTCAACCTCACAATCTGCTCATCAACAGCCGGCTCCAGCCCAGCCCCATCCTCCCGCCCACTATACGCGCTCGCAGTCTTAGCCTTCATACGATCATGCTCATCATTGTCGATAATCGTCGCCATATTGTCATACTCGGAATGGAACCGCGCGGCTTTGTACCAGTCGTCCCGCACCCACTTGCTGCGCGCGGATCCAATTCGTCGGAGCACCTCTGGGTCAGAGGTCACGACATAGTTTGGCGCTGTGCGCACAAGCGGGCCGTACCGGTTGAGTGATTGGAAGGCGGGGCCGATCCGGCCGGTGAGTGCTTGGTAGACGTACCATGCGTAGGAGAAGGAAGCGAGGAAGGGCCCTGGAACATGGCGCAGGCGGTACCAGGTTGTGAAGGCGGTGAAGGTGTACCAGGTCAGGAAGAGGAGGAAGGGATAGGACCAAACTGGGAGGGGGTTCGCAATGCCGTCGGGGGTGATGAAGGACAACATGACTTCAGTCTTCAGTTGGTAGTATAGGTAATTGGGCCGAGGCCTGTTAGTATGAGCTGGTTCGGGTAGATTGAATAGGGACAGAATTCTCTGAGACACTGACGAGTTAAGTAGGACGCGGTTTTGTGTATTACATGTAGTGGGTAGACCCGGTAGAGAGGCATGGAGATGTCCAAGATTTGAATCACAGGGGATCAGACTACATGTACGGGTGAATTTGCATCGTGAGAGAAACCCAATTACATCTCTTTGATAGTACTAACTCAGGGTGTGTGTGTGTGTTACTTTCATGCACTATTCATGATGATGATTGTCAATATGCACCTGTTCATCCCACGCAGTGCTACACCCTCATGGCGCTACCCCTCACGCAGCATCCACTAGAACGAATGTTCCTCACACCATCCAAGCCGCGGCATTATGCTTGCTTGCAGGATCATATCTGGGATTCTAGACGACATGAGTGGGCTAGAACTGCCTGGCACTTTGGACGCGCAGCGAAAAGGGCTGCCGGAATGGCTTTCACTGACCCGTTCCCAACTTCCCCCTTTCCACAGCTGCCGTGGACGGGGAAGCCAATCAACGGACATGCAAGAGACATTATTCCTGTGATAGTGGTACCGCTGGCCGTCCGTCGATCATTAGATCCCTGCAGTGAGACGGGATGACGGTAACACGACAGGATGGTTACCCCGAGCGATAAGTTGAAATCTGCCGGCTTGAGTACCGTCTGCATTGCTTGCACGATATCACATGTTGTGAGAGTATGATCCAGTTTGGCCGGCATGCAGTACTACATCGCGAACATCATCACTGTAAGGGCCCAAGGTAAGTCAAGATGATTCCAACGAGAATTACTCTCTGATTTTCACCGGGATGTTGATGTTTTAGGAGGCTTTTCTAAGCACCTACTTTTTGACGACCAGTTTTCGCTCGCGACGGGAATCTGATGAACTGAGCCCTCTCAGATAGGAAGCCTGTGAAATTGAACCATGTGTACTATGTGCTCTCCCCAGTGTCATGCGGGCGTTCCAGGTCGGTCTTCTATACTCTGCGCTGCCTCCTGACCTCCATGCTTGTGTTCAGTCCTCAAGCACCGCACTGTGAGAAGAAGACTACATGAACCAAGGTCTGGAGTATGGCTGCGTCATCTTACTCCGCCTTCTCAGTCCATCTCTTCAAGTTCAGTTCCTTCCAGTTTCCATCATGGATCCCAACCCCTCCCCCCTTTAGGTTATCCCCCCTTTTTCCTTCCACCCCCACCCTCCTCACCCCGGGCCTGACCACAGCCACCACCCGCCTCTCCAACCACCTAACAAACCTCTGACACGGCCTCTCCGCCAGGAAACAAAACCCCTCCGCGGCAATCATCACCGCCGGAATCATCACCGCCGCGGACGCAGCAAAACTCGCCGTCTTCTGCATCGCCGTGTCCCTCCCCGTATACCTCCCCGTGTTGGTCATCAGAAACAACCCCAGCGAATGAAACAGCGGGCCGTGTGTCATATAAATCCCCGTTGACACCCGCCCGATATACTGGCTGGGCCGAGTCGTAAAAAGCCAGGTAGCCTGCCGGCAGTTGCCCGTGGTGACTGACCACAGCACCAGCCAGGCACCGGCAGACTTGAAGAACTTGCTTGGGACGAGGCTGGGGGGTGTAAGCAGGGCCGTGAGGGCGCGGAAGCCGGGGGTTTGGGCTCCGGCCAGTTTGGGGTAGGAGAGTAGGTAGATTCCCAAAAGAAAGATGAGCAGAGCACGCCAGTGGCTGTGATTGCGGTGGGCTCTGGGTTCAACTTTGATGGGGGCTGACAAGTGCGTCTCGGCGAGGAGGATTCCACTAAGCATAGTGGCGACCTCCCAGCGTTGGTGCTGCGCGAAGAGGAATGCCGTTGCACAGATCAGCACAACACGTACAGCCGTAGTAAGCCTCGCCGTGATCAGCAACGCGAGAAACCCAATCATCGAAGCGCGCAGCTCGGCTGTCAGGGTCCAAAGGTGTGCATTATACGGGTTATACCGGCGGTCCCATGAGAAAGGATTCATCATAGTCAAACTCTCCGCCCACCAGTCGCCTAGTTGATCTTGGAAGCTCTCAAATCCCGGCGCCGGCAGCTCAAACCGCGTGAGCCGCCTGCCGTCAGGCAGTGTACTCAGAGAAGCCACATGCTCAAAGAACCCAGCCCAATGAAGCACCATGACGGCGGCTGTCGTGACCAGCGCAGGGAGGAAAAGCCGCAGCGGCCTGCGAAAGGCGGACGAGCCAAGAGCGTGGAAGGCATCGTCCCAGCGTTGGGCCTTGATGAGCGCCAGTGGCTTCAGCGAGAGGAGGAAGCCGGAGAGGATGTAGAAGAGGAACACCATCGAGGACCCGTCGAAGAGAGCCCGTATGAATGGGAGTTGGTGTATACCGTGGTGGTTCTCGACGCCGTAGCCGTACCAGACGCCGGGGCCATATGCAGCCATGCCGTGGTATATCATGACGATGAAGGACGCGACGCCGCGCACGCCGTTGAGCGCGGGTAGAGCGTTAGCTTCCATCAAAGGTGAAGAAGTTGATGTTGTTTATTCAACTTCACTCCCTTTTGCCATGGTGATCTGATGACTTAGGGGTTAACAGATGGTACACCTTTGGTGTCTGGGTCCTTGGATGACTGCAAGTCTGCAACGTCTGCATGTGCGTTCTACGACGCGAGGAAGGGGCACGCGCAAGATAAGCCAGGGCGGTTGTATGTCAGGGGCACCCTGCCCGGTCACTCCGATGCAACACCCCGGAATCCTGCAGTGTCATGCACCGTCAGCACATCCTTGCATTGGGATTTGGGACCCCGACCCCCACCGAGTCACCGACCCCGACTACCCCAGCCCCCCGCCCTCCCGGAGCGTAATCCGAGCGGGCCGAAAATCCCCACGAACAATCAACGGGGCAGGGACAGAACACCACTGCCAGGAATGAACGTACCGACAAAGCGCAACGCCCGTGATAGCCGCTGTTCCATCCAAGTTCTTGTCCTTTTTCATTTATTGTCATTTCTAACCTCAGAAGACCACTGCAACCTCCAAAGATTGAAAGACAACTACAATCAGATCCGGTCCGTACACTCCAGCTTCCCTAACAACCCCCATTTATCATTCTCCCAATCCCATCATGACCTCCTCTGGCGTTCCCACCTTCACCACCCTCCCCTCTCTCAACATATAGACCACATGCGCATGCCTCACACTCTCAGCTGTATGACCCACCGTGACAATCGTCATTCCCTTACCCTTATTATTACCCTCCGCCTCCCCACTCATGTCCATATCTTCCCCCTCTCGCCCCCTACCCATCAATAACCCCCCCATCACCCTTTTCGCAGTCCCTGCATCCAACGCGGCCGTAGGCTCATCCATCAACAGAACCGCCGGCCTCCTGACCAAAGCACGCGCAATAGCAAGCCGCTGCTTCTGCCCCACAGATAGCCTTCCACCTCTTCCCTCCCCCCCGCCATCACCGCCGCAAAGCACCGTATCCATGCCCTCAGGAAGGGACTCAACAAACTCGAGAATTTCTGCCCGCCGACAGGCGTCCGCGACCTCTGCATCTGTGGCGCGGGGATTCCCAATCACGAGGTTGAAGCGCACGGTGCCGGAAAAGATTGTGGGCTCCTGCGGGACGGTGGCAATAAGGGCGCGGAGGGAGCGAGGGGAGAGTAGGGAGGTGTTGATGTGGCTCACGAAGAGGGAGCCACTGGAGGGAGTTAGTGAATGGGAGAGTATGGACAGGAGAGTGGATTTGCCGCTGCCCGAGGGGCCGACGAGGGCGACGTGTTTTCCGGAGGGGATGGATATGGTGATGTCGTGTAGGGCGGCTGGGTGGGTTTGGTTAGAGGCTGAGGAGCGTGGATACTCAAAAGAGATATTTTGCAGGTCGATGGGGCCTGGTGTGGGGGCGAGGAGGTGTTTGTCTTTGTCCTGGTCGGTGTTTTGGGCGTCGAGCTCCTCGAAGAGTACCCTTGCTGCGGCGGTTGCTTTGGTGAGGTCTGGGAGGCGGCTGAGCATCTCCCCCGTGTCTTGGGCCCCAAAGGTCAGGGCGATGAAGATGGCAAAGAACTCGAATAGTCCTAGACCTTCGGTGGTGACCAGGCGTGTGCCGTACCAGATGGCGAAAGCATTGACGAGGAATACAAATGTCTGCGTCAGTGAAAAGAGTAGTGCATGATGTCGGACGTGTCGCAGTGTCAGCCTGGCGGCATGGCGTATTGAAGCCGTGTACCGCGAACAAAAATAATCCTGGGCATTGTAAGACTGGACGGTGGAGAGCAGAGCGACAGATTCGTTTGCAATCTGGCTTGAATAAGCTTGAGATCGAATGATGGCTTGCGAGTGCGAGACCGAAATTCTGTGTCGAGCGTAGCCAGATACAAACACCAGGGGCACGACCGAAAGGAGGACTAATGCGTACTTCCACGCAAGGACAATGGAGAATATGGCGGTGGCTGTTAGAGTCCCAGATATCTCCGAAAAAACGGCCAGTGATGACGAATGAAGGCCGGCGAGAGAGGCCCCCTGATTCAGGAGGGCAAATACCAGCCCGGGGGTGTCGTGTTTCCCCTCAAGGAACCACTCGGCGCTTTTCTGAAGAGTTCCCTCGAGCGCGCCACATCTCGCTCTCTCAATTGCCCTGTCGCAGCAGATCCCGAGGGCCCAACTCGCTGCAAAGCTTGAGGCACCTTTGGCGATGGCCACTGCGGCGAATAGCAAGGCGTATCGCGCAACAGATGCATGGAAGTCGGCACCGATTGGCGACGCGGAGAGAGCGATCATCTGCGCAAAGAGATAGGCTTGAAAGGGGTAGGTAGCAGCCGAGATGACGGATGCTGTGTGGCCCAGGACAAGAAGAAGCAGTTCCGGTCGGTTGAGTCGTAAGATGCGCCAAATATATTTGAAGGCGGATTGCTGCCGCATGATTGGTCTCCCATTTTCGCTGATGCCGTCTTTGCTGGTCTTCTCGCTTGCTTTTAGATCATCCCAGCTTGCATCGCACTCACCGCTTCCAAGGGGGTTTGGGTGGTTGATGAAGCCCTCTCGTCCGCGGCTTTGAGGACCTTTTTTCTTGACCCCGTCCTGAGCTTGAAGGAGTGAGGCATATAGGCCCCCTTTGGCCAGCAGATCTCTATGAGATCCGCGCTCAGCCACTGTGCCCTTGTCCAGTACCACGATCGAGTCAGCCTTTTGGATTGTATTCAACCTATGGGCAATAATGATGACCGATCTTCCGGTCGATATCCGATCGATTGTTTCCTGGACTACCAATTCAGACTCGCGGTCGAGCGCTGAAGTGGGTTCGTCCAGGATGAGAAGAGAAGGATTGCGGACGAGTGCTCTCGCGATGGCAAGTCTCTGTTTCTCGCCGCCACTCATCGCCGTGCTTGCGCTGTCCATTCCCATAATCGTGTCGTAGCCACAGGGGAGGCGCTCAATCACCGTCTTTAGACCAACAGCGGCACAGGCTTCGGTCACAGCTTGGCGCTGAGCAGATTCAGGGGCCAGTTCTAGAGGCGTTCCCATGAGACCTAACCTCACGTTTTCGTACACGCTCATTGTGAAGAATCTCGGCTCTTGTGGTAGGTATGCAATGATATTTCGCAGCTTTTTCGGGTCGTAGCAACTTATTGGCCTCTTGCTGAAGTACACCCGGCCGGAGAGAGGTGTGTTTAGCCCCAGAAGCAGACTGACCAAGGTGGACTTGCCGGCACCAGATGAGCCGACAATTGCGGTGGTTTGCCCAAAGGGAATATCCAGATCTATCCCGTCGAGTACGCGATGGCTTGGCCGACTCGGGAAGGCAAATGCCACATCGCGGAAGGAGATGTCTCCAACGGAAGATAGTGCAACCAAAGACATCCGCAAAGGCCCCTCCTCTCCCTTCCTTTCATCGGCCGCTGAAGCGTTTGTGTTGTTCGAGTCGATGACGCGGAAGAGCTCGCCTCCGATAGAAGCAACAACTGCCAGGTCAGGGAGCAAACGGGAGACGCGCCCCAGCGACACGATACCCAGGATGATGGCAAACAGCACATTGGTAACGATGCCAACATCGACGCTGTCAGAGATCAAGAGGTTTGCGCCTTGCCACATGGCCAGGCCGTAAGACACGTACAGCACAAAGAACACCCAGCCAAGGATGATAGCCTGCCAGAAAGCCCGGCTGCGATTCGGTGTCCTTGCCTGCTGTAATTTATTTTTGTACAGTGCCGTCATCTGGCCTTCGGCCTGCATGTCCTGCACAACCCTCACGGCCGAGATAGCATCAGAAGCTGCGGTGTGGGCCTCCGCGATAAGCTCTGTTGCGCGGCGGCTGTTCCGGGCTACCAGTCGTGACATGAGACCGATGGGTACAAACATGGCGGGGAGGACACTGCTAAGGACGAAGGCGAGTTTCCAGTTGCGAACGAAGGCAATGACAAAGGCCGAGAGGAAGCCAGCGAGAGCATGGAGAAACTGGGGGGCCTTTTGGCAGAGAGCGTCTTCCAGGGCAGAAGCATCTGTCGAGAGAGCCTCTGTAACTTTGGCGGTCTCTAGCTTGCTCGACTGGGGCATGCCATCTGGCGACGAGGCGGAAGGGGGCAAGCCGTTGTGAATGAGGGAGGCAAAGTAGGCCTGCTGCACGCTCGCAGCAATTCGTGCACCCGACACGGCCCAACAGAGCATCTGGAGATACGACGCCGCGCCCGCCGCTGCGCCGATGGTGCACATAAGAGCCACGCGAAAGGTGATGTCGCGGGACACCGTTGACGATGCCTGCGGTCCATCATTTTGGTTGTTGTTGTCCAAGTTGGCAAACACTGAGATTGAGGACCCGATGGCAATCGTCATGAAAGGCTGTTGCACTTGCCGTAGTCGTCAGCAAAAAGGCCGAGGTTGAAGGGAGTTTGGGAGAGGGTTAGGGTTGACCATGGCCGAACCACCAATCGCGCAAAACGCGCAACCCGCTAATTGCAGCGCCGCATCGCGCCTTCCGGTATGTTGGCGCAAAAGACGGAGGAAGGGGTAACCCGGGGCGCCCGTGGCCCGAGAAGGGGAATGCGTGACCATCTTCCCAGGTACCTGCCTCCAGTTTGAGGCTGGGGTCTCCAAGGCAGCGTCGACCGTCCAGAGTCCAAACTTGGAAGGATTTAGAGACATTAGAACAGAGCAGAAATCCATCCCTTTCTCATTGAACTCGTGAGCGTCTTTCGCTGACAGTAGCCCAGGTTCAAGGTTGTTGTCGAATCAGCCCAGCAGCCAAGCTACGAAAGTTCTTAAGGCTAATGCAGTGTCGGTTACTGGCGCCTTAGCTCCTTCCAGAAGTTCCAAACTTCCAATCCTTCGACCCGAACCCATGGTAATCTGGTTGCTGCAGGGTCTCATCTCACTCACATACGCCTATCTCTTGAAGAGTGTGTAACCATGCTTGATTAGGAACTCTGTCCCGTGGCACAGAGCCCAAGTTGACATCCGTGGGGTAACGGAGGTCGGCAACACCGACACGCATCGTTGCAGACCTTCACATGCATTTAGTTTTCTCTCTATGCTCCGGGGCGAACTCGCTCCACGAGATTGCTGCTGCTAACAGCACAGCAAGCATGGCTGTCAAAGTTGCTTTTGACGGCCGATCTCGAGTCTACAGATTGCTTCGTGCCTGGAAATATGACCTTTTTGCCTCTGTCTTCTTTGTGCTTTTCAGGTTGTTCTACCGCCAAGTGGAAATCTGGGGAAAGGACGACTCGTCTCAGGAAGATGCGCTCATCTTCGTCGCCGGGCCGCACTCCAACGATGTAGAATGCTTACATCCTACTTCCTACCAGTTTGCTTAAGCTGACGGTATGGCAGGTTGCAGACACGGGTCTCTTGATGCCATTCATTCTCACCCGCTTCGGCCGTCGAGTGTCTTTTCTCGTTGGTGCAAGGACCATGGGAAAGCCTGTGGAAGGGTTTCTCGCTCGCGGTGTTGGCGCCACCGTCCTGAACCGCGAGTGGGATAACGCGACGCTAGGAACTGGTACCATATGCATTTCGTTGGCCTCTTCCGGTCGTGTCATTCGCGGGTGTGGCACACGCTTCGATCTGGAAGCTCGACCCGGCGACCGCCTCATGTGTGTCGTCGCAAAGAAGCACATTCTCCGTGGGACAGTCGCAGAGATCTGCGGCCCTGAGATGTTGCTTTTGACTCAACCACTACGGCTTCCAGAAAACCCAGGCTGCTTGGAGGCGCTCGATTCAGACCGCCTTGCAAACCTGAGATACTCGTGGGTCACGGGCGCCAGTTCGCGGGCGCATTGGGACGAGATCATGACTGCTCTACGGACCAATGGTGCTATTAGTTTGTTCCCAGAGGGAACTTGCCACGATCAACCCCATTTATTGCCCTTCAAGTGTGAGTTGCTAATGCCTCTACTGGAAAACCCGAAATGTTAACCTAATGAATGGATTGTCTTCGTCAGCTGGATTTGCCGTCATCGCCCTCAAGTACGCTGCCGCGGCATTCCCTCACCAACGCGTCCGCATTGTACCTTGCGCCATACATCACCAGCAGAGCCATCTTTTTCGTTCCAAAATTGGCTTGGAGTTTGGGTCGCCGATTACGATTCCGTCTGAGCTTATCACAGCCTTCAAAGCTGGAAAAGAGAAGCTTGCGGTCTCGGCGCTGAGACGCCTTGTTCAGTCTGTTCTCTCCGAGATGACACTCCTTGATTCAGACTCAGACGACATGATCCCCAAGGTCATCAAAGCATTCACTACGCTATCCCCACCTCCCTCCATCCAGGAAACCCTGCAGCGGAAACGCCACATCGTCAGACGACTCCGCGCGGACATTAAAGTACAAAGCCTTGATACCTGTCAAAACCTCACCACCCGCATCAACCAGTTCAACAAGGAGCTCGCATCCTTTGGCATCAAGAGCCTCCCCGTCTCCGGCCACGCCACCACCCTCCTCCTCACCCTGATGAAGAACATCCTCCTTCTCTCCCTTACCACGCCCCTCGTGGCACCAGGCCTCCTGCTCTTCACCCCCTTGCTCCTCGCCAGCGGGTATTTTGCGCGCCGCCATGCGGCACGAGCAACAGCGACGTCTGCGTTCCGCATCAGGGGGCAGGACGTGCTCGCGTCGGCCAAGGCTTTGTATGCCGTGCAGATGGCACCGGTGCTGTACGGAGCGTTTGCGTGGGGGATATCAATCGTTTATTCTTGGGGTTCATTTGCTGGGTTTGGGAAGCCTGTGATTGTTGTGATGGGCCTGGTGCTGGTTACGGTGCTCGGGATCGTGGCGCTTCCAGCGGGGAACGTGGTGATGGACGCGGTGGCGGAGGTGAGGGACGTGGTGGCATGTTTGAGGGAGGCGGTATGGAGTGAAGAGGGGAGGGTGAAGATGGGGAGGCTTGTGAAGATGAAGGTGAAGTTGGAGAGTGAGGTGGAGCGGTTTCTCGGGGAATATGAAGGCGAGGAGGGATGTATGGGGGATAAGCCCCTATTTTAAGGGGGAAGTGGGCCTGGTAACTCTGATCCCTGCCTACGGATATCACTGTATATGTCACCTATACTTATTCCTTTTACATGTATCATTGTATTCCATTTTGTTCGTTTAGCACAAACTTGCTTTTGAATGTGAACAGACAACCCTCAATATCTTGCAATTCAAAAGGAATTCTTGCCTGCAGATGCTCTGCTCCCTAGGGTACCTACCCTTTGTAGAGCAACACAACACCACAGCAGTCAAGTTTTATGAACATTTGTCAACAGACGAAATTGAAGCAATAGGTTTTAATGCATGAACCGGCCGTGGTAAAAGACCTAGCAGAGGAAGGGGGGGTCTCTGACCCCATGTTCCGTCTCATGACATTGTAGTCCGGCACTAGCAAGTCCTGCCATTACATAAACATTAGGATACCGGCTAGGAAACATTATGACACCGGCTAGGTACCATAATGTTGTCATAAAATCTCAATTTGCTAGTGCCGGACCACAATGTCATGAGACAGAACATGGGGTCAGAGACCCCCCCCCCTTCCTCTGCTAAAGAGTTACACCCCATCCTCTGATAAGCCCTGTAGCAGATCAAACTCTCATCCCCTCCGTTCGTGATTGTCGCGGACGTCCGACTCCCAATGCAGTGTACAGTCCCAAAGCCCAGAGCTTCTCCTTGTTCCTTGCTGGCAACTAAAGAGAGAGCTATGCGGCCCTCTCCTCTTGTGCACAAGAGAATCGACGGTCTTAGCTCTGGACCCATTTGAATGCTGTCACCTGTGCTAGGCAGTCGAATCACCTGGACGCTGAAGAGGTTGCCAGGCGCGTCGTAGTGCACCGAGACCGGGGCTGATCCTTTGCTCAATCGGTAGGTAGGCTCAGACCGAGGAGTGATAAACCGCGGAGGATGCGAGTCGAAAGAGAGTGATAAGAACAGGTTGTCCAAGTCCCGGTACTTGGAGGTCAGGCCTGCCCGTATGACGTTTGCGGAGGATGACATGCACTCTACCAGGTCTGCGGCCGGTAATCATCGATCCTATGGTTAGCAGCTGAGCTAGGGCATGGGAAGCGAATGATGGAAAGGAGAGTTGAACAGACCCCCTGAGACATATGCATGCATCACCCCTGCTGGGATGAAGACGGCTTCGCCGGGCGCCAGCTCGACAAAGTTCATCAACAGGGCCAGGAAAACGCCCAGGTCGTCCTCTGCATGTTCACACCCGATGCGTCGTGCGAGGTTGATTGCCTCGGCTGCTACCCCTGGCACCTTGAGTTGAAGGTCAACATTAACCAGGGCTTGCACCTTTTTGCTTGCCTCGGCAACAGCCTCCTTGTCCCGGCGAAGCGAAAGCGTTTCGAGTGCTTGACGAAGCACTAGTGCCTCAGCTTGTTGGTCGGAATCATCACCTGCATTACGCCTGGGCAGCTTTCCTGCTGCGCAAAACTTGAAGATGGCACCGGTGACCTCCCCGCCCAAGAGCTCTGCAAACGGGACGATGTGGGCGATGATGCCGGCCACCTCCCTCAGGGGGCGAAAGCCTATAAGTGCTTCGCATTTGGTGATGGCCACAATCATCTCGGGTTTCGCATTAGCATCTGCCACTGGTCAGACCCCTCTGCCGCTTTAACTTTGGAGGTTGGCAGCTCACTGCCACTGGAAATCGAACTAACCGGGATAAATATCAGGATGCTTTGCGTGGAGCATCTCTGCAACCTGCGCAGGGGGGTGTACTTGAATGCTGAGCGTCTTGCCTATGGACAGCACCTTAAAAAGAAACGGCAAAGCGTCGTTGGGACTGCCAGTGCGGTCCAAGACATCGCTGAGTGACTCCCCGGAAGCAACGAGACGCGATGGCAGAAGCGGGTGGACGCCCATCCAGAACTGTTGTTGTTGATGTCAGCGTCAATCTGGGGAACAAGAAGTTGCAGTTATGCATGCTCGCTAACCTCGGCGAAGGTGTTATTGACATTACGCCCAAGTGGCCCTGGGCCTGGTGGCACATGGCCACCAGATACTGAAAGTCGGTAGACCAGAGATTCGTCCCCTCGTTTACCTGCTCCAAGTTACCAAGTAGGTCATGAACAAGGTCAGTGAGCGCTTGAAATGGATGTAAATGTATATGATCGAGAGGAGTCGCACCCCAGTCGTTGTGAGTTACACCTTTGCACACACGTGATTAGCTTTCTCTGATTCTGAACAGTGTAAGTGGCCGTTTTCAGGGGGTACTATTTACCACAATGGAGTTGAGATAACATTGTCTCTGTGGCTTAGGACCGGTTCAAGTTCACTGCATAATTTCCCAAGTCGTTTAACCGAACAGAATATATCTTCTTTTCTCCTCGTGAGCCCAGAAATAATGCACGGACTCAGGGGGTTGCTGTCGAGTCTTCTACATCAACCTCCCTGAAGCGGAACAAAAGCACCCGACCGGACACATTTCTGAACTTTGGGGCCGTGGGGGTCAGCTCACGGCCAACTGCGGCCCATCGTATGAAGGCCTATCGTATGAGGTGAAACCGTGAGAGACGGTCCCTAGTACTAAGGAGATAGAAGGAACTTTGGTCAACATCACGGCGTCTCCGTTGAGAGGACCCGTGCGTCTACTCCAGTAGACAGAACTGGGTTAGCATTTGCGTTTTGGCGGCTTTGTCAGATGCGGCCAAGCGTTGTGAAGGAACAGAATCCATGCTGATAGATTCAATCGAGATAAACACCCGTGCGAGGTTGAACCGGTTGAACAGTCTAACTCTAATCAGTGCCAAGGGTTTAAACGCCATGCGAGATGAACCATTGAACCCCGCGCAAAAGTGCCTGAGCTTGGGAAAGAGCGACGAAGCTAGCAGTTAGTTGCTTGATAGGGTTTGTACCTTAGTTAAGCGTTAAGCTAGAAGCAACACCTCAATGGCACGCAGAACAGTTAGGTGTTGAAGAAGAGTACTGAAGAATGGGTGTTTATTGTAGCGGCTTGTTGGTTGAAGGAGGGTTGCAGGTGGGAAAACGAGCCAAGCCCCAGTTCCCCAATAAATACAGGTTTTGCCAGGGTTCCTCCTGCCCACTCAACAGTGTGCTCACACTTTGACTGTGGCTGAGTCTGTCTTAGATTGCCATGGCATCAGGAAGGTCGAACTTGGAGAAACACACAAAAGAATGGGTGTATTGATCGTAGAGTATTTGAGAGTCGAGAGAGGAATTAGAACCTAAGAGTTGAAGAGCCGAACCCCAGTGCCCCAAAAAATACAAGCTTGAAGCGGGGTTCCCGGTTCCTCCTTCCCTCTCAACAAACTGACGGATAGTTTGTGCAAAACTTACTGGATTAGTCGGCTATCAACCAAGCAAGTAGCTGCCTAACCTCTCAAGAAGGTACCTTACCTACTTCGTATGAATTTCCAGTCCGCGCAACCAACATGAGCTCACTCATTGAACAGCACAGGACATAGAACAGAACATCATGGCCAGCCCCAGCCCCAGCCCCTTCCAAACCGCCCTCACCCACCCACCCTCACTCGCCGTCATAGGCGACGTCTGTCTCGACGAGTACCTCTCAGGACAAGTCACACGATTTGCCCCAGACCGCCCCATCCCCGTCATCAAAACCACAGGGCGCACCTTGCATCCCGGAGGCGCCGCCAACGTCGCCGCCAATATCGCCCACCTCACCACGGGCACCGTCAGTCTCTTTTCCGCCGTCGGCGACGACACCGCCGGCCAAGCCCTCCTCAACCTCCTCTCCTCCTCCTCCTCCTCCTCTCAACCAAACCTCACTGGTAAAATCACAACCCACATCCGCCTTGTGCCGGGTCGTCAAACACCGCACAAAACCCGCGTCGTCGCCCAGGGGGAGCACTACCTCCTGCGCATCGACAGCGAGTCGACTGAGGATCTTCCCGAGGCGAGTGGGGAGGCTATTGTGGGGGATTTGAGAAGCTATCTTGCCAATGGCACGGGTATGGGTACTAGGGGAGAGGGAGAGGGAGTTCAGGGTATTGTTTGCTCGGACTACGCCAAGGGTACGCTGTCGCCGAATGTGCTAAGGGGTGTGATGCAAGCGGGGAGGGAGTGGGGGGTTCCGGTGCTGGTGGATGCTAAGCCTCAGCTTCAGGGTTGTCAGGGGGGTGATGTGAACAGGTATAAGGGGGCGAGTGTGGTGAAGGTGAATTTGGCGGAGTTGTATGCTCTTGCGCAGCGCCAGCCAGGGATGGTGATGGGTGATGTTGGTAACGGTAACCGGTCGGAGATTGAGGAGATGAGGTTGAGAGCCGCGGCGAGGGATGTTTTGATGGCGACCGGTGCGGAGGTTGTAATTGTGACGATGGGTGAGGATGGCGCGAGGGTGGTTCAATGGTCCGGACATGAACAAGAACAAGACGGCGAGGAGAGCAACGTGATGGACGTCTCGTGCCATAAAGTCGAGGCGTATAAGCCGCGGCAGCCTTCAGGCTCAGCTGGAGGGGTGATGGCCACTGATGCCAACGGCGCAGGCGACACCTTCCTGGCCGCCTTTGCGCTGGCCTTCTGCAGCGGCGCGGCACCCGCCGAGGCGGCCCGTTTCGGTTCCACCGCTGCCGGCATCGCCGTGACGAAATCACGGACGGCTGTGGTGAAGCGGGTTGAGATGGAACGCGCGATTTTGGCATTGGCAGAGGAAGAAACCACACATAATTCTTCGAGGGGAGCTGCTGGTGCCGGGGTCAAAATCGTCGCGCTTGACATCCTCTGCCAGGCATTCCTCCCCCCTCCTCGGAGCGTTGGAGCCAAAGTGGTGTTCACCAACGGGTGCTTTGACCTGCTCCATGCCGGACACATCAAGTCTCTAGAGGGCGCAAAGCAGCTCGGCGATGTGCTCGTCGTTGGGCTAAATTCGGACGAGTCGGTGACGAGGTTGAAGGGGCCGGGAAGGCCTGTCGTGGGTGAGGACCAACGGGCACTGTGTCTTGCAGCGTTGGGCTGTGTGGATTTTGTGGTTGTGTTCGGTGAGGACACGCCCCTGAAGCTCATTCAGGAGATCCGCCCGGACGTGTTGGTCAAGGGAGCCGATTATGGAAAGTCCAACGTGGTTGGCGCCGGGTTGGTCGAGTCTTATGGAGGCAGGGTCGAGCTGCTGCCGCTTGTGAAAGGGGTTTCGACAACCGAGACGTTGGACAGAATCATGAATAGAGTGATACATGATCACTCCGGTTAATGGCGTCAATACAACTTGAACTCTCAAGTAAACTGAAGCCAATCACTCTCTCGTCTGGTTTTGATGATGATGGATGGGTACTGTCAGCAGTCAGCCCGTTTGAAGTGAATATCTAATTGTTGGGGTAGAAGACCTTACGTTGGGTAGGTACCAGAGTCAAGGGTAATGAAGAGGTTTTGTGGGCCATTATCACGATGTTCAGGACTGGAAAGAACAATGAACAGGTACCTCAAAGGTGCGTGTGCTTTACATGTAAGTTGAAGCCTTGAACGTACCTAGCATAGGTACCTACTCAGGGAGATCAATGTTTGCTCCAGAAGGGACGCATAGCACCTATTGTGGTAAATGGGTTTAACTTGAAGCCTGAATAGCAGGCGCGGAGCTGCCACCAGCTTGCTTCGTAGGGTAGAAGATTTCTAATAGAGTACAACCTCAACGTCTTGAAAGCTCAAACGCTTTTGTCAACGACTTTACAGATCCTTTGAGTTCTCTCATACCCACTACTTAAAGCCACTCAGAGCCAACGACAGCACCGAGACGGACCAAAAGGACTTGGTTGCTGAAAGGTTGTCAAACACTGATAAGTATCTAATACACCACTGACTTTATCTGGTTCTCCTTCAATCATCTCCAAGTTGCTCTGTACCCCAAACGAGGACACAAGACCTATGCTATAGGGAGATCGGTTAGTAGTCCATTGACTCCATTCCAGCGTTCAATATTATGGCTCTCGGTCAACACTGACAGCAAATCGAATGAGGACGTCAGAACATTTTTATTTTTGATAGAGCTCACGCACCTGGATTGACCTGATCATCTCTTGATCTCAGGATCTAAGGTATGACCTTACATCTAGCCTAGAGGCACACTCGTGAGCATTACCACCGACAATTCAGCTCCCGGGGATTCCTTACTTCCTAGTAGTCATCAACCTATCTCATCAGACAGGAAACACCGTTGTCTGCTACGCACGCACCGCCCCTAATGCCGAGGTCCAACCCCTTACTAGTATCATAAGGGAGCTTACATGTATATACGACGCGAAGTAAGGCAGCGGCCACCTTTCCATCCGCTCCAACACAGCCACAATGCCAGTCTTTGCCATCGTCGGCCCGATATTTTAGTTGCTGGGCTTATAAAGAGGCATAAGACTCAACAGGAGTCATTCCTGACCAAGAGGGCATCCCCATCCCCGTCACCGGTTTCATGCATACTACCTCAGATTATCTCGTATTTACGAGTGAGAGGAACAAAACTCGTCTTGAATTGAGGTGTTCGAGCTTGAAGGGGGAGGGGGACTTACGTATGTCGTTGACTTGCCCGAGTCCCCGCACCCCTTCCTAGAAGAGATTGATGTCTCTTGTTATCTCTATCCGTGAAAGAGGAGAAGGGTCTGTTGGAATCCAAGATTGTCCGACTAGAAGTCCTTCAACAACCCTATACATTCCCTTACAAACCTCGGTAGTATCATTCTCAGACCGGCAGACTGGCTGAAGAAGGGGCTGCACCTGTTCCAGCCCACTATGATAATGCCAGGTCACTTCATTCCCACCCCATGCAACGTTGAGGTTCTGAAGGTCTTGAGCAGCGATCATGGTCAACGGTAAAGTAACGCTGCCTCACAACCAGAGGACTTGAAATCTCCCGATAATTAACAGGAATCGGACCGCCCCAGTGTCCGCTCAGTCAACGCCAAGGTCCGATCCGAATACATTGACCGTACTGTACATGGCGGTCGGGGACGGAGCTTGGCATACAATCCGTTGCCGTGACCGGTGTTAGTTTGTATGCAGCGGCTCTGCAACTGGAATCCTCTGAACTCCGGACTTCCCGGAGTAAGTCGGCGACTCGGCTGCCGAGGACATGCCTGAACCAGCTGACGAATAAGTTGTGCAGTTATAACCAGGACATCCATGACGGTTTTCCCTTTTTGAGTGCGTTGAGCACATTACACCGACATTGTCGGCAGTCATCCTTGAAGTTATTACCGCCCTCAGGACGTTGGCAGCTGGATCCTTCATCCTTCATCATGCTTGATGTGACACGGATTCATCGGGCATTGATCAACCTTTCAAGGTTTTAACAACCACATAGATAGACGACTTTGGAACAGCAAGTGAGACAACTCAACTCCCATTCACCGTCTGCTACAGTGATTGCCGTGCTCGGCTTCTAGTGCAGCAGAGAGACAGATCTGCCTCCCACTCGCAACTTGTCCAATGCCATTGCGAGTATCCGTAGATATGGCGGCCAAGATCAGGTCCCAGGACTGCAGCATCAGAGACATCCAGAGCAGATAAGAAACTTGGAGAAACCAAAACCAGTGAGTGAGTGCCGAAGCAGCATCCTGCCGTGGCGTTTTTAGCTTCGGTCTCAGCCTAACAGCGAGTGACTAGGTATTACCCTAATCACGCACGACTCTGTGCTCCCTTCAGAGCTGAGGCTCGCTGTGAGCCTGTGACAACTGCAGTCGAGTGCATGCACATGTTGACAGTATGTACGGAGTACTCGCGCGCGAACACCGCCTTTCTCTTCTCCTCTCATTCATGCGTAGCAGACACAGCCGCCGCTTGGCTGCCTGGTTCTCGGGCCCGAGATATGCGCCATGTTCTCGTTGGCGGACGATCCATGTGGCATTTGGGGCGATTTGGGGAGGGCCTTTTTCTCTTTTGGGAAGAATGGCTTTCCTTACAGAAGGTCCTTTGTTTTGCTGGCCGCTTGAGGAAGCGCTGTGTGGCTCTTCATTCGTTGAGTGTCCGGACATCCCCAACTCAATATCCAGATCCTCTACGCAAGGGTCCCTGTCGCTTTTTACGAGCCTGATGCCTGATGCGGGGAGCAGGGCGGGATAATCAGTGCATTTTGCCGTGTGAGCGTCTAACTGGTTTCTCGAGATTGTTCTCAGTTCTGACAATACATTTCTCTTTGGAGGTCTTTTCGGATGTGGCAAGTTGTGATGTTGAATGTCGGACCTGAACCGAGGCTGAGGGAGGGAAATCTTATATAACTGGTCGACTAACAATAGCTAGCTCAGTACGGAAATACACAACTACCTACACTAACTTACAGGGGGAAAATTGCATAGTCTCATGGCCTATCCCTGGTGCTGTCTCGTGTATGTATGTACTGTACAGTTACAGTTATCACATTAAATACGTGGATGAACAGAAGTACTACACGGAGTACCTGTAACTCCGTATCCGTATGCCCAAGACATCTTTAACAAGACTGTAGGTATTCGTACTGGCATGATAGTTATTTCCGTACAATACATCTTACATACCTCCTGGCTTGGCGTACAGCGATCGCCGTTGTCGACCAGTGACCACCTCACAAGCAACAACCGGGTCGAGTTTCCAGGACGGCACACCGCACACGGCATGTCTCGCTGCTGTTGTGAACCAAGACCCAAAAGACTTTTATGTTCCACATGAACGTGCTTACACCGCAGATGTACTCGCTGATTATAGGCTGAATCGTCCTCAGGCCAGGAGTCTGGCTGAGCTCGGTACGATCCAATAATACACACGCTCAGCACGACCACACGGCTTTCTCGGAATAGGATGCCATACCAAGCTGTGGCATTCCAAGGAGCCGGATCCGACCTGCCACACTCCATACCTTAACTTCACTCCAACACGGAATTGCCTCTACGGACTCTCTCCACCTGGCTCACAAAGTACCCCGGCCTGCCGGGCTTGTCAAGGATGTCAGCTCTCCTGCCGCAGGCAAGGCGCCAGCCCGGATATGAGGCTTTCCTCGTTTTGGCAAGGCCCCTCTGCCAACACAGTACGGACATGGGTCAGATCCTGGAAGCAGCGAGACAAGATACATGATATCGGCCAACTTAAGCTCCGTGTGTGCGGACTACGATCCGGGAAACCAAAAAGTGCAGTGTGGCTTCGTATTAGAACCGTCGCGCCCCCTATTCCAGGCTTTCTTGCCCCTAACCTTCTTTTGCTCGACTCGACCATCACACCAAAGCACAAGCAAGCAAGTGAATTGCTCCCATCCCCAGGTCGACGACGACGACAAGATGGAGGGCCTTGCTCTGCTCCTGCTGTACCTGGCCGTCCCGGGCCTGCTTGTGTCTGCCATCCAACAGATCCTGTCATGGAGGAAGAGCAGTTCCGGGTCGGGCAAGAAGTTCCCCGGCCCCAAGCTGTTCCCCGTCGTGGGCCGCGTTCATGACCTGCCTAGGTTTTCCATGTGGTTGAAGTTCACCGAATGGGCGCAGATCCATGGCCCCATCTACCAAACCCGCATGCTGGACCAGGACTTTATCATCGTCACCGATGAGGAGATTGCCCGCGAGCTTCTTGTCAAGCGGGGACACATCTACTCGGGTCGGCCGCAGATCCGGTCCCTGATCAAGCACAAGGAGGGCCCCGCGTACTCGGCGTTGATGGATCGTCATGGTAAGCATTGCATCCACTCCCACCCTTCACCTCAAGATACACAGGTTGACAAGTCCCGCAGACATCTGGCAGGCCCAACGAAAATGGACCCACGCGGCCATGATGGAAGCCTACAAGCACCACTTCTACGGCCACGTTGAGCGGGAGATGAAACGCTACCTCGGCCTCCTCCTGTTGGACCCGGCCCGCTTCCTCGACTATACCCGCGAGTACTGCGGGCGTGTCATGTCCCGCCTGGCCTGGGACGACGCCACGCAGGGCAAAGCCAACGGCGACAGCGCCGACACCACACTGCACTGCATGTCCGTGTCCGGCCCCATCACCAACACCATGACTCCCCTCTGGCATTTACCCTCTTTCATCAACCCGTGGTACAACTTTGAGATCAAGCGTGAGCGGGAACAGCGCGCGTGGTGGCTCAATAACTTTCGGCTGGCGAAAGACAGGATGAAGAGGGGCGAGTTGCCCAACGATACCTGGGCGTACCGCTACTTTGAGCAGTTGAAGCGGGAGGGGAATGAGAGTCTTGACCAGAAGGAGGAGCAGGAGGTGTTTGCGAGCTGCATGATTGGTTTCCTGAATCTGGTCGGAGTGGTGACGATTAGTGGCCCGCTGAAATTTTACCTGATGGCTATGGCGCTGCACCCGGAGTGGCAGAAGAAGGCCCAGGAAGAGATTGATCGGGTTTGTGGTGACCGCATGCCGACTATGCAGGACTATGCGGATTTGCCGACGGTTAGGGCGTGTCTTAAGGAGACGGTGCGCTGGCGGTCGGGTGTGCCGTTGGGTATGTTTATTGTTTACACCTCCTTTCTTTCCCTTGCACTTCATCCGTGCTAATACATGTCAATGAACAGGCGTCCCGCACCAAGCCGAACGCGACGACGAGTACCGCGGCGTCAAGATCAAGAAGGGCACCATCATCCTCGCCTGCGAATGGTATTTCCTTTCCCCGTTCCCCTCCCCCCCTTTTTTCTCTCACCACTTACTAACCCCATCCCTTGTGCTTAGGGCCCTAAACCGCGTCCCAAAGCAGTACCCCGACGGCGACAACTTCCGCCCCGAGCGCTGGCTCGAGCCCGGGTGGCCGACCTACCAAGAGCCCCTTACCCGGTACCCCAACTTCCGCGAGGGCAACGCCATGCACACGTTTGGCTGGGGGCGGCGGACCTGCCTGGGCCAGAACATTGTTGACGACGAGACCTTTGTGTTTGGCGCCGCCACGCTGTGGGCGTTCAACCTCGCCCAAAAGCGCTGCCCACGTACGGGCGAGCTGGTTCCTATTGATACGCAAGCGACCAACTCGCATGTCATTCTTGAGCCGCTGCCGTATCATCTCGATATTAAGCCGCGCAGTGATGAAAGGGCGGCGCAGATTCTTGAGGGGTATCGTGGTGTGTTGGGGGAGTTGAAGCTTTGAATGGTGGGTCCGGCCAATGAGGGTCACGGAAGGTGTGGTTCAAGTTGGGGGATGGGGAGGGTGGCCGTAATGGTGTGGTGGTGGTGATGGTGGGGTGCTGCGGGCACCCGACGACGGAGCTGAATCCCGGGCTGAGAATGTTGTGGCACGTTGGATTGCCTGATATGAGGTGGGTAAGGTGACTCCCCGTCCCGTCCAGTCTGACGTTTTCGGGGTTAGCTAACGTAGAACTCTTACTGGAGCTTGGGGCGCGTGGTGCAGGGCTTGGCTGCTTTCATCTATAGTTTGATACTCTTTGATTCCCTTTTAGCATAGTTTCCTTTGTTTTTAGGAGCATAGTAAAGGTACTTTTTGTGGTTAGGCCTTCCCCCCATTTTTCCCAGGGGCTGATTTGGGGAGTCCGAAGACTTTGCAATCTTGTATGTCCTAGGCAAGAAAGTGCCTTTACAGTTTACATTCCTCCGCGCTCTTCCCTGACTTTACTCTCAATGTTTCTCGCTCCGCGTTGTTTTCGCT